TTTTGGGGTCTCGTGCTCGCCCCAGCTCTGAGCACAAAGCCGCCCATTGTGGAAGCAAGGAAGGGTTTGGTCGGAGGCATAATATCCTCCGTGCTTTTAGCCCTGCAGATAACATCAGGACTCCTGCCCGCACGGCCCTCGGCCCCAACTGCCCATTTGTGTGCTTTGAATAGAGTGCGCTGCTCCCTCCGTCTGGGGGCTGCCGGCACATCCTCCGGCCCAGCCCCCCCATTCAAGCCAGCCATTGTTGGGTTTTTTGGTGGTTGCGCTCCAAGGCGAGCTGTGCCAAGAGCTTTCTTGATAAAAGAGTTTAAGCACTTTGGAGACTTTGTTTTTTAAAGGTTTTGACAAAACAGTTCATTGGCAGGACTTCCTCTCAGATAGCAGGATGGCTATTAAGGACCGGCTGCAGCGATAAAAGCTGGCCAGGCAGCGGAGAGGATGGAGGGGAGCTACTGCTGGCGCTGAGGGAGCCAGGCCGTGGTCCATCCGAGTCTCACGAAGGGCCAGCTTGCCCTTCTGATGCGGTGCTTTTCCAGGCTTTCATCCCTGGGGGTGAGCGAGGGACCTGGGGGCCAGGAGACGATGGGTGCTTGGCAGTCTGGCTGAAGCAGCAGCAGAGGGGAACAGGACAGACGGGGGAGCAGCAAGGGTGGCAGGGGAAGGGAGGAAAGGGAGTGCTTCACCCACCAGGGTCTCCTTGGATCCTTTCAGCTTTGGTGTCTTGCCCTGCAGGGGGCTGCCAAGCTGCAGAAGGCAGGACTTGCTCTGGGGTGGGGGGCTCGCTTTGTGCTGGAGTTGACACTCTCCAGCTTTCTGTTGTAGACTGGGTGGCCTTTCTCCCTTCGGCTGCATTGCTTGCAAGGGCAAAATAATTTTGAGGACCAAGCTCAGCATTATGGATTATAAAATAAGTTCTGTGCCCAGTTATCATTTCTTACATCTTCCGATCTGGCGAAGAAGTGGGTACCATTTGCCCTTTCCGAGGGGCAGAGCCAGCCCTTCAATGGAACAACACATTGAGAGCAGCAGTATTATGATTATTTATTATGGTTGATCAGCCAGATGTTTAGAGAGGATTTGGCCTCCTTATCCACTTATAGGAACCTGGAATGGTCAGGTGTTGTTGTTTGATGGTATTAAAGGTAAGCGCTTTGGAGCCAAGCTGCTTTTTGCAATTGAGTGACGGTGATTTTGTTAATGCCATCCGTGTTCAAGCGGTGCTCCAGGTGTCTTTTGATTGCATCCAAAGCGTCTATCATTACTATTGGTCTGATCCTTGCTTTCTTTGGCCACAGTCATTCAAATTCCATTTGCAGGTCTTTGTAAGTTGGATTTTCTCCAGTTTTTCTATTCTGTGTCTCCAGGCATTGCAACATCCATTATTCAGATTCTTTTTTCTTTTTGTCTTATCAAAAGTTGTAAAGTCTGGAATGGTCGGTATCGGTTTGCATTCTAAAGTCCTGGAGCGCTTTAGAGCTTCTTTGTTTTCTATGACTTTCTCTATTTTATGATCCCACCAGTTCTTGCTTGCAGGCAAATGGTATTTCTTGAAGATCATTGTTGTTACCTTGTCATGCCGTTGCTGGTAGTTGGTCCTTGTGATCTTCTTGCAGCAGCTAATCAAGTGGGCCACTGTTTCTTCACCTTCTTTGCGGAGGCAACATTTGCTGCTTGTCGTGGTCTTCTCAGTGCATTGGTTCTCAAGGCTTGGTCATGTGCAGCCAGAATTAGCCACTTTCTTCAACTTTCCTGCTCTTAGCCATTGCCACGTCTTGTTGTTAGCTGCTTTGCCTGCTATTTCTTTTTTAATGTAGTGGCCACATGATACTTTGTCTTCCCGTGTCTCTTTCGTATTCTTCATTTGGTCTTTCTTGTAGGCCATTTTGGTCTCTCCAGTACTCAGTAAGCTTTAGTGCATCTTCCTCACTGTCCTTCAGATAGTCTTCCCGTGCCCTTTTCGCTTCTTCAACTGCCTGATGTACTTGCAACGTTCTGCGCCCATCTGTTTACCTTGGGAGGTAGAGCCTGTCAGCGTTGCTGTGTGGATTCATTGTCATTATTTTTCTGATCTTCCTATCCAGGGCCTTTAGTTCTGCTTGAATCCAGCTCACTGTGATGACTGGAATTGCCCAGGTGTTGATTGCCTTGATGCTATTTCCTCCTCTGAGTTTGGACCTCAAAATATTTTTCACTCTCCTGATGCCTTCACTTCTCACCACCTTGACTTCCGTGTGCTTGGCGTTGTCGGTTTGAAGGATGCCCAGGTGTTTTTATTTTTTATTTTTTTGAGAAAAACATTTTTTATTTTCAAACAAAAAACAAACAAAACATAAAAACGTCATCATTCCTAATCATTACAGACAGTGTATAGAACGGTTTTCATCCTTTTGTGCTCCTGCAATCTTCATAATATCAATATACAAGCTTATTTTCCTAAAAGAAGAGTTTAAAATATTTTATCTTATTGCATTTCATATTTCATATCTCATCTCCATGTTTTATTTTCTATCCATTGATAAAACAAACCCTATATCAAATAGTATTGTTTATCTTCCTGTTCTCGTATTTCAAGTGTCAATTTACTCATTTCAGCACATTCTATCATTTTCTTAATAATTTCTTCCCCTTCCCTGGGGAGGGGAAAAAACGGGCCTACCGGGCCCACCAGGCCATCGTGTGCCAAAAGCAGGGAGAAGTATGGGGGGGTCACGTGCACATGCGCGGGAGGGCGGGGCGCATTGAATTATGGATGTGGGCACACACACACATGACCCCCCCTTTTGGCACGCGACAGCAAAAAGGTTAGCCATCACAGGAATAGGTGGTACCAACAGTAGTAACAGTGAGAGGCATCTTGGAGTCCTAGTGGACAATCCCTTGAATATGCAGCCATGTGCTGCAGCTGCCAAAAAAGCCAACACAGTTCTAGGCTGCATTAACAGGGGGATGGAATCAAGGTCCGGGAAAGGGAGAATGCTGCTTTATGCTGCTTCGGTAAAACTTGGAAGACTGCATCCAGTTCTGGTCAGCACAATATGAAAGAGATTCTAGAAAGAGTGCAGAGAAGAGCAGCAAAGATGATTTAGAGGGCTGGAGGCTAAATGGTATGATGAACGGTTAAGGGGACTAGCTACTTTTAGCCTGTTGAAGAGGAGGATTAGGGGTGACATGTCTCCCAGTCAGGGTGGATAAAAATCTGTGACTTTTTATCAAATTTATTTTAATAAAAAGCTTTTGGAGTAAAAAATCTTTTATCTAAAGATTTCTATTTAAATTACATTAATAATTTAGTTTATTCAGCATGAAACGGAGCTTAGTTATGTAGCACGAGGAGGCTGTATATTCTGCAATATTGGGACTGCCGGTGAGTCAGCAGCAGGTCAGAGGAGGAGCCGCTGTGGGACAGCAATGACAGTTGTTCTTTAAAAATTATGATTTAAATCGAGTTGATTTAAATCAAGCCTTTTTACTAGTGATTTAAATTGTGATTTAAATCAAATCCATCCTGCTCCAAGTGCTGGAGGGGCTGTCCCAGGGAAGAGGGCCAAAGCCCCTGGTGGCAGGACGAGAAGCAACAGGTGGAAGGTCACTAATGAGAGACGCAACCTAGAACTAACAAGAAATTTCCTGGCAGAAGAATGAAGCAGTGGAATGCCTTTCCTCCAGAGGCTGTGCCTGCTCCACCAGCGGAGGTTTTCAACGAGAGACTGGGCAGAGTATAAAGCGTCTCTTGCCATGAGCAGGGACTTGGAGAAGAAGATGTCCCTTCCAACTCTTGTTATTCTCTATTTGTCTTCTGGAAAAATGGTCTTTTTCCTCCAAGAGGCTTGGAAACGAGGTGGAGCCCTTTGGCAGGGAGAGGAGAGAGCAAAGGTCCCCTCGGGAGCCCTGATAAAGGACAATTCTGCCATTTCCCTACCAAGGGGGAAGAGCCCAGGGCTTCTCCTGCACGCAGGTAGAACCGGGGGGGGGGGGGGTTGGTTTGAGCTCATCTGTTTCAAAAGCAAATCAAACCTCTGAGGGAGGCGCCCGGTATCATTGGCAGTATTACCTTATTTCCTGGTAAGGGGGAATCCAGGATGGCGAAAGAATGGGATAAACACCCTTAACAACCATCATTTCATGTCTTCAGCAGAGGAACAGAAACCGGAGGGGGTGGGATTTAAGGGGCAGAGATAATGCCAAGGAGGTGGGGGTGGGAAGGAGTGGCCAGGTGTGGCTCTTCAGGTGGAGCTGCCTTCCACAGTTGACAGGTTTGCTTTCTGTTTACTTCAAGAGGCCCTTATTTCTTGAACAGGATTTATACACACACAATCCTCCACTGAAGCTGAATTTCCATTGCTAAGTGAGTTGTGCCCCATTTTGTGATCTCTTTTTGCCACAATTCAAGCGAATCCCTGCAGCTGTTAAGTGAAGGGGGGGAGGGGTTTAAGTAAATCTGGCTTCCCCCATTGACTTTGCTTGCTGGAAGCCTGCTGAGAAGGCCACACGAGGGGACCGCGTGGCCCCAGGACGCTGCGGCCGTCCTGTAGCCATGCCAGTTGCCAAGTGTCTGTCAAGAAGAGATTGGACTGCCATTTGTCAGAAATGGTGTAGGGTCTCCTGCTTGGGCGGGTGGTTGGACTAGATGACCTACAAGGTCCCTTACAACTCGGGTTAATCTGTAAAGTGTCAAAACTTTGACCCCGTCACCGTGGGGAGGCTGCGGTGGTCGCAAGTGTGAAAACCGGTCATAAGTCACTTTTTTCAATGCTGTTGTAACTTTGGACGGTCACTAAACAAGTAGTTGTAAGTTGAGGGCTACCACCATTTGTAGCAGAAGGGTGATGAGGAGCAAAATCTTTGTATACTTTTAAGAGCTCCATAGTTGAGTCTATGAGTTGAGGAATTTCTTCCGGGCTGTTGACACAGAGATGGTGCCCCCCTCTTCCCCCCCCCCCCCCGGTGAAGGCTTGCTTCTTCTCAACTGCACTGCGGGTGGCATGAGAGAGGGTTGCGGGGTTTTCTCCAGGTGGACCACTTGGCGTGGGCCTGGGGTGCTCCGCTTGAGGGAAGCCAAGGCAGAACTGCTCTTCGTAAATGTGCTTTAAAACAGCGCTTCTCACCCTTGGCTGGGGAATTCTGGCAGTTGAAGTCCAGAGCTCTTAAAGCGGCCAAGGCTGAGAAACACTGTTTTTAAAGCTGCTTCCCTTTTCTATCCCAATCCTAGGTTTCCTGGGACTGAGCTAAGAATTCAGCATCATGGACAATGAAGAAAACATGCTCCAGGAAGGCGAAGAAGAGGAGCTGGTAATTCCTTAATCCTGATCTCTTTCTCTCCCCCCCACCCCACCCCAATTAACTGCATGGCATGACATACACACACACACACACACCCGCAACTGCAGGAAATAGTTGACCAGAGATTAAAGGCTTCCTGCAGCCATTCTGAGCCCTCCCACAGAAGCTGAGCCCACATGTTGACCAAGATCTTGCCTGCCTTCAACATGCTCTCACCCATGGAAGTTCCCTGGGCAGCTTGGGTTAAACACTCTCTCTCTCTCAGCCCAGCCTACCTCACAAGGCTGTTTGGGGGAGATAAATACCCATGCGGACCACCTAGACCTCTGGGAAAATCATGAAAATCCCATCCTTCCTTCCTTCCTTCCTTCCTTCCTTCCTTCCTTCCTTCCTTCCTTCCTTCCTTCCTTCCTTCCTTCTTTGGCTTTCTTGAGAAGATGCAAAGGTCACTGCTCCCACAGGGGCCCTGGAGACTTTATTCCCTCCAACAAGCTGCACCACCATCTCTTGGCAAATTGCCCTTCAGGGAAGCTCCAGAAGGGCTCTCCCCCCCCCCCCCACCACCACACACAAAGGCAGTGCTTGCTTGCAGGCCTAAAGGGCAGCTTTCAAAGGGAATCCTGGGAGATCCTTACCGGGAGCAAATGTAGAGCGGCCCAGCCGGGGCAGAGGCTGCCTGTTCCCCCTTCCTCCCACAGGGCAGCTCTTCAGAGACCATGGAGGTGGGGCAAAGTTGCCTCAACTTTTGGGTAGGCCTAATGGAGGGGATCCTGCCTGGAAGCCCCCGGGGCTGGGTGAGCCCCACTTGCAGAACACTCCGTTCAGCCCCTTGGCCAGTTGCCATGGAGACAGGTGCCCGGCTGAATATTGATTGAGGGCAACGCACCTTTAGGGCAGCTCCATCCTCACAGGAAAGGAGCATCGCAGAACCCAGCCGCTCAAGCTCATTTCCAAAACGGTGGCCTTGGTAGGAAGGGCTGTAATGGCCCTGGAGGGGTCTTGCCTGGCAGGCTGACCCCATAAAGAGTGAGGGGGCACCCGGGGGTGGGAGGTCTGGGGTGGCCTCAGGGCCTTTCAGAGCCCCAGGAAGCTCCCTGCCTTCTTTGGCCTTCTTCCTAGAGATCTGTGGTGCAGACTGTTTCATTGCCACTTCTGGATATGCTGAATTTCCTTACCAGAACCAAATCCTGGAATCCAGTAGAGTTCAATCCTTCTTTTGCTTGTATCTAATAGACAGAATCTTGACAGACCTAAGCTATAACTTTCTAAGCCACTAAATCTATCTGGAGAGATTCTAGAGTATTAACCCTGAACTCCATTCCCCTTCCCCCCCCCCCAATCCAGTTTGGGACTCTTCGGTCTCTGGTAGTCTTTGGGTTGTCCAAGTCTTCCCCCCACCCCCGCCCTGCAGTGGAGGTGACCTTGCAGCTGGGGTGAGGGGCCGGGCCCTCTTGCGCGTGGCCCAGGGCTGCTAAGGCTTGTCCTATCACAGCCCTCTCCTTGTACCACCTTTGATTATGGCCCTGCCCCACAGAGCCAAAGGGCTGGTGGCATCTGGTCCAAGAGCTGCTGGACTGCCAGGCTCAGCCTCCTCTCTTTCTGTGCAGAAAATCTACGGGTACAACTTTTGCCGGTGGAAGCTGGTCTTTGTGGCCGGAGGGGTGCTGTGCTCAGGCGGCCTCCTCCTCCTCCTCCTCTACTGGATGCCAGAGTGGCGAGTGAAAGCCACCTGCCAAAGGGCTTCGCTGAGATATTGCCAGGTGGTCCTGCTGAGAACAACCGTAAGCCCTGGGAAGCTGGGGGGGGGGGGGCTCAGCGTCTTGGATGGCTTTTTGGGTCGGGACTGCCCCCATCTACTCCTCTGGATTCAGGAATGGTTCTTAAGGCCGTCTGGATTGCCCCTCAGGCCTTTCTGCTTCAAAAGCCAGCAAGTGGTTGGGACTTGCTCGCCTTTCATCTTTTGATCCACCTTTTGAGGATGTTGTTTTCCTGGCTGAAATGTTGTCAGTGTAGGACAGTACAATAATAAAAAGCAGAAAACATAAAGGAAAATTGAGGTTAGGTTAGACAATATGCTAGCACCTAAAACTGGGTTAGCAAAATGTAGTTTGTGGGGCCGCATGAGTTAATAACAGCTTAATACTCAACATGCTAAGACAATCACTAGGTCCACCCAGTTAAAGAGCCGAAGAGTCTTTGAGCAACAAGAGAACCGAGAGATTCAACAAGAAGGAGAAGGAGCAGCTGGCTTTGGAAAGTGGCAACCATTTTGTGCGTCAAGTGACAGGAGGGTTGTGGAGAGAAAACCTGGCCAGGAGGATAATTTAAAGCTCAGGCGCTTAGCAAATACCCAGATGGAACATTAAGAGAATTCAGCCGCAGTGGAGAAGACAAGAGGATGGACTTTGGCAGAGGCACTTTAGAATTCACTTTGGTTTAGGCCTTTAGGAATTGGGCCTTTGGGTCTGCTCCATCGGCAGACCTTCTCAGGCCAGGGGTGTCCGCTGGCGGCCGCAGCATAGTGGCTGCCCCTGGGAAAGGCTCTCTGGGCTGGCCTCTGGCCCCCCTGCTGCCTGTCCTGGGTGGCTCCCCCTTTGCTGCCTTAGCCCCAGAGAGTCCGCCCTGCATGGCCAGGTGGCTCTGAGGGCAGGAGGAGGGATCTGTCAAGGCGGCCCAAGCAGGTCTCAGAGGGTTGGCAGCTGGAGCCGTTTGGTCTCCTGTGATTGCAGGAACTGAAATAGAAATTGTAAGCCGCCCTGAGTCTCTGGAGAAGGGCGGCATATAAATCAAATTAAAAAAAAATGTGTTCTACCTTTTTTTCTTCCTGCAAAGGATGAATTCCAGACCTGGTTCTGCGCAAAGGTCCGCACGGTCTTTTCCCTAGGCCCCCACCCCTTACAGGCCCCCAAAGAGCTGGCCTCAGAGAAGGTGGCCAACGGCTCCAGCACTCCTCTATGCGTCCCTCCCTCGGAAGAGAACGGCAGCAGCGCCTTGGACGGCCTCTCCCAGGCTCCACAGCCCCTCCAGGTACCCAGCATGGCCAGAGCAGCCTGGTTAGGCCTTGTTTCACGAGGGAAGCTTCCGGAAGGTTTCTGTGGGAAAAGCGGCTTCCCTGATGGGGCCAAAAGCGAAGGAGCTCCCCGCTCTGCTTGCCTCTCCTGCGGGTAAACTGACCCAGAGAAGTGGGGCGAGGGGGCAGCAGGTGGAAGGGTGTGGAGGCGTAACACTGCCGCCAGTGCTCCGTCCGCCTATATGAGCAGCACCTGCTGAGTCTCCCCCTGAAGCGGCAACACAGCCTGTGTTTCTTGCCTTCCAGCTGCGCTATTTCACCCACCACAGCGTGAAGTATTTCTGGGATGATGCGATCCAGAACTTCACTTCCATAAAGTAAGAGACAGACGCTGACCCTGGCAGCACGAGGGCTTCTGCCTGCCTGGGCCGCCCTTTCACACAACCCTCCTCTCCCTTTCCTGCAGGGGTTTGGATGACTCCACCACCTGTGCTTCCATCCACCGGGAACACAGCATGGGGCTGACAAAGGAGATGCAGGACTACAGGTGAGCCACTGCAAGGAACATGGGGGAGGGCTCCCCACCAGCTTCCCCCTCAGCACCAGCTGCTTCTTCTCTGCCTCTTGGCCACCAATATTGCCTCCCTCTCCCCACTCGACTTCCACATCCTTGTGGCCATCCGGAGAGGGCCCAGAGGTGCCCAAGAACCCCTGCAGGACCCTCGGCCTCCCGGTCCCCCTCTCTCTCCTTCCTATCTGCCAGCTCTTCCTCCTCCTGGCTGGCTCTCTAAGTGCTGTGTGGCTGTTTTGGGTAGCAGCTGCCAGCTAAATTTGTGTACTTTTTGTTTCTTTATCTCTTTTGGATGCAGGAAGATTTTATACGGACTGAATGAAATTGCAGTTAAAGTGCCTTCCATTTTTAAGCTGTTGATTAAAGAGGTGAGCCTTTTGCTGTGGAAGTGGAGTGGGGAACAGCTATTGTTGGCCGTCTGAGTCTTGAGAAAGAGTTACTAGGGGCAGCGGGAGACTAGCAATCTCTCAGCTCCCCTGTCTCAGGCTGCTGCCTACGTGGGTTTCTGGGAGAATCAGTTGACTGTCTCAAAAAGCAGACAGGGTTGGGTTATGCACAAGAACACTCCAAAATCTGTGTTGGGGCATCTCTTCGTGGGCCAGCCTGTTTTTAATGTGCTACGTCATCTAAAAATGTTCCTGCTCGTTAAGCAGAGTCTGGTTGCTCTGCTTCCAGGATCCTGGAATGGGAAGAGGCCAGGCAAGGACAGAATGCTTGGAGGGGTGTGGGGGGAGGACAGGGCCATAATCACCCTGAGTGAGGTCTTTGCAGGTTGGTGTAGTGCAGGGGTATCCAACCATGGCAACTTTAAGACCTGCGGACTTCAGCTCCCAGAATTCCCCGGCCAGCATGAAACACTGCTGCAGTGCCCAATTTCTTTTTGCTTTTATTGAATGAATTTTTAAAAAAAACAAAGAGAAGGAAAAATAACGATAAAGAGAAAGGAAATTAAATTAAGTTAAAAATCAAACGTAGAATATATATGCACAAAGGCATTTCAGTGAAGGTTGTCTGTCTTTCCTTACAATCATTCTATGGCTAATCTATTTCAATACCTGATTCAGTCCTAAATTGCTAATATCATCAACTCTGCAAGCTATTGAATAGCTGAGGCCCTGTATTTATCTTTCTCGTGCTGGAGAATATTTAAATAGGACACAGAGGATCCAATTTCTTTGTCCAGGTGCCAGTTTTCACACAATAAGAATGTAGCTCAAAAGAATCTAATATTAAATATTGTCTCAAATTGAGCCTTAAACATTTGGGACCAACAGCATTTAAGTGAAACATTATTTTCCTCCCTCAAGAGCCCCCAAATAGGGGTCCTGCCTTCCACCCAAATGACAGCTCTCCCCACCCTCAGAATTCATGTTTCCTAGAAATAGTGCTTGGACGAGGGACCCCCGCAGTCCCTCCTCAGGATTGAGGCTCTCGCAGCGACCCCAGGGCCACAGGGATCACCCTCTGCGACCTCCATTATGGTTGGCTTCTGGCAAGCGAATCCAATGGGGAAGCGGTGGGAGATCCCAGGTGGTGACCACCCGGTTGCCGGACGCTGCGGTCATGCAAGGTTCGCCTCGTGGCAGCAACTGGAACTGCTGCAAATGCCATGCGTGAGCCAGCACGGCCATGCGACATCAGCACCCCGGACAACCGGGTCGCTCAGGGACAGAGTTCCCAGGCCCTTTTGTCCCTGGAGTAGCTGTCTTTCGTCTTCCTCTCAAGAAGACTACCAACTAAGATGCATTATGCAAACCTTTGAGAGGGCTCCCAAGAACAGTTTCCAGTAAGGGGAGTCATCCAAAATTTGATGCTGTAAGATATGCAAAAGGCCTAATTCAAGATGTGATAAACCAGATTCTCCCGTCCAACAGACAGCTGCATGTATTTAAATCCCCACAACCGTTTGTGAAATGTTGGACCAAACGTTAGAAAATACTTTGTAGATTGCCTTATGTATGTGTTTGAATTCCATGCTGGGTCTGAGGACTCTGAACGTTAACCCTGAGTAGGGAATTCAGCATTCGGACAACCAGGTGAAGGAGAGGGCTTCCTTCTCTCCAACGCTAGTTTCTATTTTTCTCTCTCTTCCCCCCCACAGGTCCTCAATCCTTTCTACATTTTCCAGCTGTTCAGCGTGATCCTCTGGTGCACAGATGAATATTACTACTATGCAATTGCCATTGTGATCATGTCTCTGATCTCCGTCGCCAGCTCTCTCTACAACATCCGGAAGGTGCGGGGGGGGACGGGACAATAAGCCCTGCCAGGGCTTGGATTCTTTTACTGCTGCTGTACATGATCAGCTGGCTGGGGTTGGCGCAACAGGCCAAGCTTCGGTTATTTTTAACTGATCGAGTGAGTTGCAGGAATCCAGGCAGTTCGGTTAGTTTAGGATCCTGGGTCTGGAGCAAACACTCCGATCGGTTACTGTGTTACGTATGTTAGTGTACAAACGCAGCCTTCGTGTTCCCAGCGCATTGTGTTGTCCTGCCCTAAGCCATGGATGTGTCTGGTCTTGGAGGATGTCTTTCCTTGGCATCAGTTTGCCTGAAAGATGTCCCAGATCCTGCCATCATTTGGCCGCCTACTTTGGGCTGACCAAACCTCCTAACGCTCAGAGACATTTCAGAGGAGGTAATTGTGATGCTGAAAAGCTTATGAACCGTTTTGAATGTTCAACATTTCTGCATAAATGAGTCAGAAATAAATATGTATAGTTTTGGATTGCTTTCTTCAATGAATAGATTAACAGGTCTAATAATTTTGACTAATTGGATTCGCTTTATCTGGTTTTAAGACATGGGGAGAAGAGAGCACATTTAGGTCATATTTATGCAGAAATAATGAAAATTCAAAACGGTTCACATACGTTTAAGCACCACTTCAGCTATGAAAACAGAAAGTGCCGGTCGCAGGGGACTGCTGCTGGGACCTGTTTGGGTCACCCCCATTAGCAACATCTGCGGAGAATCAGACAGAAGGATCGTAATGGACCCCTGGGTGGCCTTCAGGAACCCCCAGAAGTAGCTGACAAGGATGGGGTCTGAAGGGCTTGTTCCACTGAGGATTATCCTTAGCTCACAACAATCAATCAAATTGCAATAAGATGAATAAGTGATTAAGATAAAAGATAGCGAGCACGATAAAGCGAAAAGTCTTGCCGAAGTCCTGGGCAATCAGCCAATTCTTCACATTATTTCAGAATGTGTCTTCTAATGCCTCCCCCTCCCCCCTCCAATTTGTCTGGTGCTTCAAGACTTTGCCTGGGGTTTTGGAATTGGTGCCACATCCTGCTGGGGGTGCCAGGCGCGGCTTCTCAAGCGAAACCCAAGGGAGCTTTTTAAGCTCCAAACCAGGGGTGTGTATGTGTGGCATCCTTTGAAAGGAAGCCCAGGATTATGGTTTCCTCTGCATACTCAGTATCCAGGTGCTCCTTAGTTCATCCCTGAATTTGGGTTTTGGGAACGAAGAGGTTAGGTCCGTCTGCTGCTTTGGCCATACCTGGAGGCCTCGGCTGGCTGGCCCAGAGGATGTGGAGGTGCTCTGCTTGGGCCGAAGAGAACCCCTCCTGGGAAGCCTCCCAGCTCTGCTGGGGGTTCCACAAAGAGGCACAAGGGTCAGGCAGGCTGGACCCTGAGAAAGCTGGGGGCCAGTTCAGAAAGAGTACAGGACACCCCAGAAAAGGTCTTCCAGCTACACGGGCCTTGTCTGCATCTGTGGGACCGTGTGGCTCCAAGAGAGGGGGCTGCCACCCAGAGTAGTCCGCCTAATAGGAGCTGCTCCCCCTTCCCCCTTCCCCTTTGGCTTGTGGGGTGGCTGGCTGGGATTGCTCTCTCAGGATTGGGGCATCTAGCTAGCAACGTTTTCCTCTCCTCCCTTCAGCAATACACGATGCTGCACGACATGGTGGCAGCTCACAGCATCATCCGGGTCTCCATCAGCAGAGCCAATCACGGTAAGATGGGCTGGGCAGTTTAGCCGGCAGGAAGGGTGAGGGCTCCAGAGGGGCATCTTTGGGGATCCTGCTTAAGCTCCTCCTGAGGTGCAAGTGACTGGGGGGTGAGGGAGCTTTCCAAAGCAACAGGCGAACAGTTCAGAGCTGGGGTTGGTCTTGGGGCAGAGGGCCAGTCCTTGGCTTGTTGCTGCCAAGTGTGTTGCAGGACAGGCTTCTCTGTCAAGGGACGGTGGCCCTTCTGGGGTGGGGGTCCCTCTGCCAGCCTCAGGCTCCTCCCAGAGTCTTTGCCAGCTGGTCTCTGCACCATCAACCTCTGGGTGGGTGGGGGAGATGTGAGGGGGTTGGGTTTTACCTATTTTCAACTCTCTCATGCCCTTCAGGTGTGGAAGAGGTTCTGTCCACGGACCTGGTGCCTGGAGACGTCATTGTGGTCCCGCTTAGGGGAATGATCATGCCCTGCGACGCGGTGCTTCTCAGCGGCACCTGCATCGTCAACGAAAGCATGTTGACGGGTGAGTCGGAGGGGCACTTGCCCCATATCCGGAGCCAGGCCACAACACCGCGGGCAGCATAGGCAGTGAGCGAGGCTCTCTTTCCCTCCTCAGGGGAGAGCGTCCCTGTCACCAAGACCAACCTGCCCAACCCGTCCAAGGACTGCCAGGCCCTGGAAGATGAAGTGTACGACCCGGACGAGCACCGGAGGCACACCCTCTTCTGTGGCACGACGGTCATTCAGACCCGCTTCTACACTGGGGAGCTCGTCAAGGCCGTGGTCGTCCGAACAGGTACGCCAGCGCCAGGTGGGAAGGAGGGTCCAGGTCTCCCAAATGCGTCTTTGGGGAAGGCTGCCTCCCATCCTTCCCCATCTCTTTCCCCCATCGCTGCCCCAATACCCAGTCAGAATAGAGCTAGAAGGGACCTTGGAGGTCTTCTTGTCCAGCCCTCTGCTCAAGCAGGAGATCCTAATACCATTTCAGGCAGGCAGGTGGGTGTCCAGTCTCTTCTTAAAAACCTCCATTGATGAAACACCCACAACCTGTGGTAGCAAGCTGTTCCACTGGTTAATTGTCCTCCCTCTTAGGAAGTTTCTCCTTAGTTCCAGGTTGCTTCTCTCCTTGATTAGTTTCCATCCGTTGCTTCTTCTCCTGCCTTCTGGTGCTTTGGAGAATAGGGGTTTTTTTTTGGAGAAAACCCCCCTCTTCTTTGTGGCAGCCCCTCAAATACTGGAAGACTGCTATCATGTCACCCCAGTCTTCTTTTCTTTAGACTAGCCAAACCCAAATCCTGCAGCTGTTCTTCATATGTTTTGGCCTCCAGGCCTTTCATCATCTTAGTTGCTCTTCTCTGCGCTTTTTCCAAAGCCTCAACCTCTTTTTTGTAATGTGGTGACCAAAACCGGATGCAGAATATTCCAGGTGTGGCCTTACCTAAGGCTTTATAAAGCGCTATTAATCCTCCAGGTGACCTTGATCTTATGCCTCTCTTTATACAAGCAAGGGTCGCATTCGCTTTTTGGGCTGCTGCCACACCCTGCTGACTCGTGTTTAAGAGATTGTCTACTAGGACTCCAAGATCCCTCTCACAGTTACTGTTTTTGAGCTAGGTTTCACCCAATCTCTACTTGTATCTTTGGTTTTTCCTGCCCAGGTGTAAAATCTTGCTTTTCTCCACACTGAATTTCATTTTGTTCATTTTATTATTGTGCAATAATAATATGTTTAAGCTCATAAATGCCAAACAAGGAACTTAAACAGAGGCTTGAGTAAAATAGCATTTAATCTTGATCAAGCTTAAATGGTTAGCTGTTCCAAACACATACAAGATACATGCAGGTAACAACTACAAACGAGAGAGGGAAAGTCATAAACCTCCAATTCTGGCATCTTTTTTTTTTTTTTTATTGCAAAAGTTTTACAATTACATTTTCACCCCTTTTTTTCACCCCCCCACCTCCCTCCCCAAACTTCCTGTCCTCCCTAACCCTCCCTAACCCTCCCCCCCCAGACTTCCCTATTATGTACTCATAACTAATAACACTGATATATAAACCTGAACCCATCCCTCCCCCTATATAATTTTTCCTCTTTGTCTCTTTACATTAAGATATTTCTAATACATTATTTTCAAATAAAAGCTATTTGATACTTTCTAGTTTGGTATTTGTTCTGAACATATTCTATCCACCTTTTCCATTCCCATTCATAAGTCTCTTGTGAACAATCTTTTAAATATGCTGAGATCTTCGCCATCTCTGCAAAGCTTGCCATCTTCAAAGTCCATTCCTCGATAGTAGGCAAAACTTCATTCTTCCAATATTTACCTATCAACAATCTTGCTGCTGTTATCTTATACAATATTAGTTTTATTTCACCCAATGTAAAACCCTTAACTATACCCAATAAAAACAGTTGTGGAGAAAATTGAATTTTTTTCTTCAAAACATTCTGCATGACCCACCATATTTTTATCCAAAAAGCCTTAACTTTCCTACAGGTCCACCAAACATGATAATACGTAGCATCCAAACATTCGCATCTCCAACATTTTGGCTGAACATTAGGGTACATACATGACAACTTTTTAGGATCTAAATGCCATCTATAAAACATTTTATAAAAATTTTCCCTCAGATTCTGTGACTGTGTAAATTTAACATTCTGAACCCAAATTTTTTCCCATGTTTCCAACATCACTGGTTCTTCAAAATTTTGTGCCCACTTAATCATACAATCTTTAACTAATTCAGTTTCTGAATCCCTTTCTAGCAAAACATTATAAAGCCTTTTAATATGCATTGGACCTTTCTCTCTTATATGTCTAACCAATTCTTCCTCATGCAACATAATACCAGTTTTTTGGTCCTCTTTCCATCTCAATTGTAATTGATTATATTGTAACCAGGTTAAATTAATCCCTTCGTCCAACAGTGTCTGCAATGTCTTCAGCTGCCATCTGCCCGCATCTGTAAAAAGAACCTCTTTGTATAAAAACCCCCCGAGTGACATTATATTTGTATTCCACAAGGTATGACCAAGATCCAGCCATAGCGGTATTTTATTATCCCATTTGAGTCGGTGCTTCTTCCAAACTCTCATCAAAGAGTCTCTAAGTATATGACTTTTAAATACTTTATCAACTTTGTCATCATAAAATAGGTAAGCATGCCATCCAAATTCAAGATCAAAACTTTCTGCATTCAATATTCCAGCCTTTTTACTTCCAAACCAATCACTTGTTAAAGTTAAAGCTGCTGCATCATAATATAACTGTAGGTTTGGAAGTTTAAGGCCTCCTCTTTCTGGAACATCTTGCATAATTTTCATTTTCACTCTCGGCTTTTTCTCGTTCCAGACAAACTTATTAAGTCCAGTTTGCCAAACTTTCAGTTGTTTATCACTTTTAAGCACCGGAATCATTTGAAACAAAAACAGAAATCTTGGCAAAATGTTCATCTTAACTGCTGCTATTCTTCCAAGTAAAGACAGTTGCAGCTTTTTCCAAGTCTCCATGTCTTTCTGGACCTCTCGCCACAACACCTCATAGTTATTTTGAAACAATTTCATGTTTGATTCTGCAACCTGAACTCCAAGATATTTTACCTTAGGTACAATTTCGAAACCTGCCCTCCTTTCAAGCTCATGTTTACGATCTTGTGTCATATTTTTGACTATCATTTTAGTCTTTTTTGAATTCAGTCTAAAACCTGAAACTCTACCATAGTCTTGTATAATGTCGTTCATCAGGATTGTTGATTCCATTGGTTGTGATAGGGTAACCACCAGATCATCTGCAAATGCCTTTATTCTATAATCCTCTTGCCTTATCATTATGCCTTTCAAAATTTTAGAGTCCCGTATTGTATTTAGCAAGACTTCCAATGTTAAAATAAATAAAAGTGGGGACAACGGACATCCCTGTCTTGTTCCTTTTTCAATTTTAAACTCTGTCGTCAAACTTCCATTAATAATAATCTGTGCTTTTTGCTCTTGATAAATTGCTGAGATCGCCTGTATAAATTGGTCCCCAAAGCCCATCTTTTTTAAAGTCTTTAGTAGAAAATTCCAATCCACTCTATCAAAGGCCTTCTCCGCATCCAAAAAAACCAGCACTGCAGAAATCTGTTTATTCTTATCAAGATATTCCAATAAGTCTATTACTTGCCTTACATTGTCCTTCATATATCTGCCCTCAATAAATCCCGCTTGGTCCGCATGAATCACCTTTTGGATTACTGGCATCAACCTGTTGGCTAATACCTTCGCATAAATTTTATAGTCTGTGTTCAAAAGAGATATTGGTCTGTAGTTCTCTGGTTTTTTAGGACCAACTTGTTCTTTTGGTATCAAAGATATATAAGCAGTTGTCCAAGATGGGGGTATTTTACCCCCTTGTTGAATATTGCAAAATAAATCTCTAAGTTGTCCCACCATTTCAGCTTGTAAAGTTTTGTAATACACTGCAGTCAAACCATCCGTGCCAGGAGCTTTGGCTGTTTTTAGCTGTTTTATTGCTGCTGTTATCTCCTCCTCTGTTATAGGATAATTCATTCTTTCCTTTTGTTGATCAGTAATTTTTGTAACTCTCTTATCCTTTAAATATTTTTCTATAAGTCCATTCTGCACCTCTTCTTTGGCATATAGTTTAGTATAATAATCCACAAAAGCTTCTTTAATTAGTTTTTGTTGAAAGATTTCTTTCCCTCCAATATCAATACTATCAATAGTCCGTATACTTTGTTTTTTCCTCAATGTGTAAGCCAACCATCTGCCCGGTTTGTTAGCGTTGCAAAATGTATTATGCTTCGCGTATTGTAAGCTTGTTGCAACTTGTTCCGCCATAAGCATTTGAAATTGGTCTTTCAAAAGTTTTATAGCACTTCGTATTCTTTCATCTGTTGGGTTTTTAATAAGTAACTGTTCTTTATTCTTTATTTCCATTTCCAACTCAGATCTTCTCTTTTGTCGGAACAGTCTATGTTTAGAATTCATGTAGATAAGTACCCCTCTCATATAAGCTTTACTTGCGTCCCAAACAATTTCAATTGGGGTACCTTTATTCAAATTTATTTCAAAAAATTCTTTCAAATGCTTTTTAAGTTCTATTGTATTTTTTTCATATCTAAACAAGTTCTCATTTAATCTCCAAGAACGTCTCTCAACCTTATCCATCTCAATTTCTATCCATACAGGGCTATGGTCAGTCAGAGTTCTTGGAAAAATCTTTGTTCTTTTTGTCTTAACAAGTAGATCATTTGACAACAGGATAAAATCAATCCTAGAAAAGGATCTATGTCTATCAGAAAAGAAAGTGTAATCCAGTTCATTTGGATTATGTATTCTCCAAACATCTTTTAATTCCATATCTTCTTTCATATCAAAAAAAGTCTGTGGTAGTCTAATTCTAGACTTTGCCAAGCTCTTTTTATCTAGTTTAGAATCAATTACTCCATTCCAGTCTCCCATAATTAAAATAGATCTGTAGTCCCATTGCAATATTTTAGTATGTAACATCTTATAAAAATAATCCTGTTGTTGGTTGGGAGCATAAATTCCAATCAAAAGAATTTGGCCATTTGCTGTGAGCAATTCAATTGCTACAAACCTACCATCTTGATCTGCTTCTATAACTTTCGCTGTTAATTTTTTATTTACATAACCACACCATTCTTTTTCTGCGAAGTTGAAGATATATAATGTGCTCCTAGTTTTGAGTTTATCAAATATTTTTGATCTTGAGTTGTGATATGCGTTTCTTGTAAACATATTATATCATTATTAAATTGTTTCAAATATGTAAATAATTTCTTCCTTTTCTGTGCTGAATTCAACCCATTAACATTCCAAGATAGACACTTAAAGGTCATCAGCCTCTTTCTGGAGCGCAGAGCAAAATATTTGAAGTTCATCCGAGAGCTTCGATCTCGCTCCTCCCATAGCTCCACTCTCTTGTACGGTACTCTTAACTGCCTTCTTGTCTTGTCTTTCCTGTTGTTGTTGTTGCTTTTGTTTAAGTAGTTTGGATTGAGCTCTAGTTATACGTTGATCTTTAACTTCAGTCAACTGAATCAAATCCAAAATTGGAGAAGAATCCAACAAGGGCTCACTCAGAAAACCTCCTTCTGCACCTTGCACGTTTTCTAATTCCTGCTTAGACTGTTCTTTCAATTGCCTCTCTTCACTCTCCTTAATCTCCAAAACTGTAGATGTACGTGGAGATGGTGTTCTTTCCTTAAGAATAGTACTGTAAAAGTGTTGTGCCTTCTCCACGGTATTCAACCGATATCCTTCTCCCTTATATCTAAAAATTATCCCAGCTGGTGCGTCCCACCGGAAGGGTATCTGTAAATTTTTCAATTCCTTAACAAGAAAACCAAATTCTTTTCTAGCTTTCAGCATTTTAGGAGGTAATTCTTTAAAAATTTCAAGTCGTGAGCCCCCCACTTGTCCAGAAGTGTGAAAAGATTTTTGCAGGATATCATTTCTAATTTCTCTCTCAGTAAAGTATATGACCACATCTCTAGGCAGTTGTCTTTGTCTGGCCACCCAAGAGTTCACTCTGTAAATTTTATCTATTTTATGAAATACCAAATCAGGATTAGCTTGTAAAATCTTAGCCAAGGCTTCAGAGCAAACCTGTCTCAAGTCCTGTCTCTCCTCCTCTCGAATTCCCCGAAGCCGTATGGCAAATTCCATCGCCCGGAATTGTATCATAACAATCTCATCTTCAGTTCTCTGCATTTTATTGTCAACTTCATCAACTGGCATCTTTGATTTGGGTATTCCCTGGAATTTGGTTTGTAAACAAATATTTACAGCATGGAGGTATACAAAAACATCATATATCATACACACACACACACACACACACACACACACACGCTGCAGGAAACAAATCACAAGTTTCTACTAATTCTAATATTTCAGTATATCTATTTCCTTACAGTTGGATAGTCTTTTTATATCCCGAGCTTGTCTTCTGGGGTGTGGGCTATTGCTGCCAGCCTCTGCCAGGAGGTCCAGCTCCCTCGGTGCCAATCCATTGCTTGCCCCACAGCAAGGCCCCTTTGAGTGGCTGCCTGGGTACCCTTTTTGGGGTCCTTCTCTGGACCTTCTCTGCCTCAGACATGCATGAGGCCTGTGGGCTCCCTGAGGGGGGGGGGGGGGGGGGGGGGGGGCAGAATCCCTCTGGAGAGATTGCTGAATGGCTGTGCTGCAGCCTGTCTGGGTCTGGGTTACCTGGGCCACATCCCTGACCCTACATGCCTCTCCTGAGGGCTGGCACAAGTGAAACAGGCCATGCCCTCTGACCCTCCATTTTTGGTGAGGCTCCATGCAACTCTTCATCCCTCCTGAAAAAAGGAATGGCTGCAGACGGCCCCTGGCTCCTCGGAGATTGTTTTGATTTCGTAATGGTCTTTCTTCTCTGCCCTCCGTTCCCCCGGAAGATGAGGCTCATTTCCTCCTTTCCCCCAAGATTCTTCTTCCCCCACTGGAGGGAGCTGCCCTGGGTCACGAGCTTCACCCGCCTGCCTGGGCCTCCGGCTCTTCTAGTGGGCGGTAGCCTCCAGGCCCCTTTGGCAGCTTTCTGGCCAGGCTGTGGCCAAGATGCGGGGCAGGCCTCCCTTCTGATCCGCTCTTTGGGGATCCAGGCTTCAGCACTTCGAAAGGGCAGCTGGTGCGCTCCATCCTGTACCCAAAGCCCACCGACTTCCAGCTCTACCGCGAGGCCTACCTCTTCCTGCTCTGCCTGGTGGGTGTGGCGGGCATCGGGTTCCTGTACACCATCGTCATCAGCATCCTCCACCAGGTAGGCAGTCAAGGGCTGGCTGGCGACGCCCCCCCCCCCCCCCCCCCCCCCCCCCCCCCCCCCCCCCGCCCGGGCCCCCCCCGGGGGGCGCCCCCCCCCCCCCCCCCCCCCCCCGGTGGCAGAACCGACCGTGCCAGTGCTGGCTCAGTTCTCGGGGTCTGCCCTTAGGCAACGGGCGAGGGGCTGGCGTGGGTGGCGCCTCTGCTGTCCACAGAGCCACCTCCTGGGCCAGGCTGGGATGGCTGGCCGGGAGCACCTGCCCTCTGCCAACTGCCCTCCCTGAGGCCTTCCCCAGCTCCAGCAAGGAGGTTGATGCCCAGCCCTCCTTCCAGGTTCCCGCCCGCATCATCATCATCGAGTCCCTAGACATCATCACCATCACGGTCCCTCCGGCTCTTCCAGCCGCCATGACAGCCGGCATCGTCTACGCACAGCGGCGGCTGAAGAAGGTCGGCATCTTCTGCATCAGCCCTCAGAGGATCAACATCTGCGGGCAGCTGAATCTCGTGTGCTTTGACAAGGTCCGGCCTCTGGCCACGCTCTCCTGGGCTGCAGGGAGGAGGGGGGGCTCATGAACTAGGGAGGGGGGAGCCCCCAGCCCCAGCTCTCTTTTGCTGCCCTCAGGCCCCTGTTGAAGAACAGAGGGAAGGAAGGGGAGCAGGAGCTGAAAGAGCCCCCTCCCCCCCCAGGTCCTCTCTGGCCTCAAGCTTGCTCAGCCCCTGAATCCAGTCCGGAGGGGCAGGGCTGCTGGGTGGGGGCCCTGCTGCTAGCATTCTCTCCAAAAGTCAGCCTGACCCCTCCTAGGTGATAGGCAGTCCTTAACTTACAGCCGTAATGGATTCCAGAAATACAATCGTAAGTCATGTTGGCTATTAACTGGGTCACCACATGCATGTCCTCAATTACGACCTTTTTTTGTGGTAGTAAGCTAACACTCCCGGTTAGATGAATCTATGACATCATTTTCTGCCGGAAATCAGGAGCAAAAGGGAGTTTCCGGCAAAAGAAACGCTGAAATCATGGTTAGGTCACTGACTGCAAAGAGTTGCAAATGCAGACAGGTTGCTAAGCACCCCAAATGCCGTCACATGACTCAGTAGCTTTAAATTGAGAAGCCAAGAAGCCTCCTAACTGATCGGCTAGAACTGATCCGCTCCTTGTAAACCGCTCGGTGGTGGTAGATCGGCAACTGAGGCCAGGCTGCCTGAGAGCGGTTTCCGATGCTCTCGGTGGTGGCAGAGCGGCTGGGGGGCGTCGTGGTTGGAACTTGGAAGCTGGTGGAGGCCCCTTGTCACTTGGAAGAGGCCCCCTGTACGCAGCCCCCTCCCCACCCAGCCAAAAAGCCAGCCTTGCTTTGCAAAGGCTCAGTGCCCCCCCCTCCCGAGGGCTCCGTGTGTGACCGCCCGTCCCTTGTTTGGCTGGGAAAGCCAAGGAAAGGAGCCATTTGGGAAGAGGGGAGATGGGGATGGGGGGGGTGGGAGGAAGTCTGCACAGCAGGGGCCAGCAAGGAATTCAGCCCCGGCTGCTGCCATGTTGACAGAATCTGGGGAGGCGGAGGGGGATGGAGAGCAGGACAGGCGGAGACACTGGCCGATCCAGGCCTCTCTGGGAGCTGTGGGGGGAAGCTGAGAGCCCCATCATTGAGCTCTGAGGCTGCCCATCCTTTTCTCTGGCTGGGCCAGCCTTTCCCCCCTTGGGAGCCTCTGCGAGTGGGGTGGTGGTGGCGTGATGGGGGGGCAGAGGCCGAGAAGAGGAGATGCTTGAACTGGGGCCTGGCCAAAGCCACTAAGCTCCACTTGTCCTGCTCATCCTTCACCACTCTGGGCTGCAGGCTTCCTTGGGTGCCAGCCAAAGGAAGGAAGGCTGGGCTAGGAGAGGAGAGGAGAGGAGAGCCAGGGGGCTTCCTTTGCTCGGCTTTGCAGGGGGAGCAGGCACAGGCACAGCCTTCCCAGCTGCTGCGGGGGCTTCTCTCATCTTCCAGGATTGTAATTGCAGTCCTGTCTCTTGGGGACACCTGGGAGGGAGGGAGGGGGCCTCGCGCATCCCCTCCCTCAGCTTTGCGGGGGGGGGGCAGCACTCAATGCAGTCTCAGCCACCAGAAGGAGCCAGATTCTCTCCATCTCCCAATGGGTTGGTGTTTCCTGGCCAGTTTTGGGAGGGTTTCTGTGGCTCTTCACTGGGCCTGGCTTGTCTCAGATCTGCTGTCGGGTCTTTCTGGCTGTGGCCCCCAAAGGCCTGCCAAGCGGCTGGTGAAGCCAGGGGTGGCCCTCTCAGCCCCACGGCCACCACTCTGCATAAAGTGCCCTTCTTCCCCCTAGACCGGGACCCTGACGGAGGATGGCTTGGACCTCTGGGGCATCCAAAGGGTTGAAAATGCCCGGTAAGTCAGAGAAGAGCAAAATCCTTGGGGGGGGGGGAGTTCCTGCTCCTCAGCCACCGGGTGGCCAGGACCCTATTGGCCACCCAAGCTGTCCTGGGTCTGGGGTGGGCCATGCAGATCAGCCCCCTCATTGGTGTTTGGGTTGCCATTTCCACTGAAGGGCAGGTGAAGCCTGCTCTGGCCAGAGGAGCCTTCCTCATCCTCCCTCCCTCTGCTCCATTCAGCTTCCAGCTGCCCGAGGAGAGCGCCTGCAAGGAAAGCCTGATGCGGTCGCCCTTCGTGGCCTGCATGGCCACTTGCCATTCCCTCACCAAGATCGAAGGGGTGCTCTCTGGAGATCCGCTTGATCTGAAGATGTTTGAAGCCACCGGATGGGTGAGTACCATCCCTCCGGGAGGAGAACAAGCTGCCTGGGGGGAGGCGGGAGGGAGTTTGTGCTGATGGATGCCTCGGGGGCTCCGTTCCCTTCAGGTGCTTGAAGAGGCCACAGAGGAGGAAACGGCCCTTCACAACCGGATTATGCCCACGGTTGTCCGGCCAGCTAAGCAGCTTCTTCCAGACTTCAACGCTGGAAACAACAAGGAAATGGTGGGTCCCCTGGCCCCTTCCTCCTTTCCCACCCTCTGGTTGGGCTGCCTCTGCCTCTTCCAGGAGCCGTCCCCAGGGCCACCTTGGGAGAGCCCAGGCTCTGCCCGGCTGCAACGAGTGTTCCTACCGTGGCATATTGGGTGGGGGGCTCCCACATGGCTCAAGGCCCCCCTGGGCTGCCCCTGCTGCTTGGGGCGGCTTCCGTCACAGGCAGTCCTGCAGAAAACTCTCTTCTCTTCTTCCCTTGCAGGAGCTGTTTCAACTCTCGGTGAGTGGTTCCCCTCCACCCCCTTGGTGGCTGCGGCCCCCCTTGGCCCCCCGCCGGATGGTCATCGAGCGCCTCCCTTCACCTGCTCCTTTCTTGACCAGGCCAGTTACGAAATCGGGATTGTGCGGCAGTTCCCCTTCTCCTCTGCGCTTCAGCGGATGTGCGTGGTGGCCCGGATCCTGGGGGAGAAGAAGATGGATGCCTTTATGAAAGGGGCCCCGGAAGTGGTCGCAGGGTTGTGCAAGCCAGCCACCGGTAAGCTCCCCTGCCCTACCTCCCAGGGGGGAGGGTGGCCGAGGTCCTGCTGGCGTGACATTCAGCCGGTGGCCTCTCTTTCTTTCCCAGTGCCGGCTGATTTTGAGCGGGTGTTGGAGGACTACACCCGGCAGGGCTTCCGGGTGATCGCTCTGGCTCACAGGAAGCTGGAGTCTAAGCTCAACTGGCACAAGGTGCAAAACGTGGCCCGGTGAGTGGATGGGGCTTTGGGGGAGGGGGGCGGTGGGGTAGTCCAGGCACTCCAACACAGACACACACAGACACACACACACACACACACACACACATGAGAGGAGCAGCATCTCCTAGAAAGCCTCTGCTCTCAGAGTGGCCTCCAGCCTTGCCCGGTCCTCACAGGGGATGTGTTGAGCAGGGCTGAGGGGTGCCCGGCAAGTGCTTCCTTCTCTGCCTGGGTCTGCTCCGTCCCCTGGCAGAGAGGGGCCTTTGCCATTCCCCCCTCGGAAGTGGGTGACCCTCCCTGCCTCTCCGGCAGCTCCTCCTCCCCCTTGCAGCCGAGTCTGGGTGGCGTCCTCCCTCCTTGCACCTCGGCTCTGCCCCGGGTGTCTACCAGCACCTGAGAGAGACCAGGGTTCTTTCAAGGCTGACTGGGTTGGGCCTGGGTCTGCCTGGGTGCCCGTGCCGGATCTGAATCCTCATCCTCTCTAGTGAAAAGGGGTGAGGTTGAATTCCAAGGGGAATTGGTGCTCGGCAGTCGTAGCAGCTTCCCAGGCTTGATCCCGCTGCAAAGCCCAGCCTGATTTTCATGGCGCCGCCTCTCCTGCCCTAGAGACACCATCGAGACCAACCTGGATTTCATGGGGCTCATCGTCATGCAGAATAAGCTGAAGCCGGAAACTCCCGCCGTCCTCCACGACTTGCACAAAGCCAACGTCCGCACCGTCATGGTCACAGGTTGGTGAGGGGGCCTTCCCTTGCACGCTTCCTCCAGAGGGGCCTGTGCTTGCTTAGCCACGGTTCTCTCTCATTTGGAGCACTTCCCTTCCCCGGCTTTGCCCGTGAAGGAGGGCATAGGAGGTGGCAGGGACCCTGGCCCAGCCAGCCCCCCCGTTTGTGGCTGAGGTGATTCAGCCTCTTGGGCTGCGATAGGAAAAGGGTCAGAGCCGCCGTCAGACAGAGGCTATTGTGCTTTGTTCCCCCTCTTCCCTCCCCCCCCCCCCGGACGCGCTTTGCTGGGTTCAGGTGCTCCTCACTGGAAGGAGGCTGGACTTCCTTTCCAGCAGGTTTCTAGTTTTTCTGCCGTCTCCCCTGGTGGGGACAACCTGAAGTCCTAATAGGGATAGATTCTTAAATCAGATCCAAACCTAATCTTGCTTCCAGTTCTAAATCCCCATCTTTGCTCCCTTAAGATAAACATTTAAGCCGAGGGATCAGCACAAGGGGATGAACATCAGCAGGAAAGCACTGGAGGCATTCAGAACATCTGTTTGCTTAAGGAAGGACTTCCAGGTCCCTTCCAGTACTTTGAAAAGGCCAGATTGCTAAGGGGGGGTGGGGGTGTTTATGCATGTGTGTGATTGTGTGTTTATGTGAACTGCTGCTGGCATGAGGACTGTCAGGGAGCAGCTGAGCCCTGGCCAAACTCTGTTTCTTCCCAGGCGATAACATGCTGACCGCCATCTCTGTGGCTCGGGACTGTGGCATGATTCTACCTCAGGACAAGGTCATTGTGGCTGAAGCGCTACCTCCCAAGGATGGGCACCCCGCCAGGATCAAGTGGCACCACGCAGATGCCCTCGAGAGGGCTCCCAACGCCACGCCCACCATCAACTCAGAGGTGAAGGGGGTCCTCCAGAGGGCAGGGAGAGACCCTTAAGTGCAGTTCAAGGGAGAGCCTCCCCCCCCCCCCACACACACACACTTTCCCCCAATCTGCACTTTCAGCTGGGAGGGAAGTTGTGCCATGGGAAGAAAACAGGTCCTGCGGGAAGGAAGGAAGGAAGGAAGGAAGGAAGGAAGGAAGGAAGGAAGGAAGGAAGGAAGGAAGGAAGGAAGGAAGGAAGGAAGGCAGAGGCACAGGAGGAGAAAGGCCCCGGCCTCCCTGAAGAAGCTCCCTGGAGGAGGAGGAGGAGGAGGAGGAGGAGGAGGGGAAAAAACCCAAGACGCTCCAGCTGCCTCTTGCAAAAAAAAAAAGCCCCTTCTGGGACAACCATGGGACCTGGGTGACGGGGGCTCTCCAAAGGCCCCCAGGCTGGATTTTATCCCTTTTATCCCCTGGGCCCTCCGGAACCTCCCTGCCCTGGAAGGCCTAGGCCGACGATGGTCTGTGCAGTTCCCCCCTTGGGGTGGGGGTGGGGGTGGGGGTGGGGGGGGGAAGGCTGCCCTGAGTTGGATGCCTGCCTGGGCCTGGAAGGTGTGACTTTCATATATTTATTTTTAAGCTGGGTGCTCCATGGACACGCCTTGTTAATGATGATTGGCTCAACACCCTTACTTCCTTCTGGGTTTTAATCATATTTTAATCTCTGTAGGTTTTAATGTTTTGATACTTTAAGTTTTTCCTCGTTTTATAAGTTGTAAGCTGCCCAGAATCACATCTAAGAGAGATCGGCAACATAAAAATTTAATGAATAAAATAAGTAATTGGTCGCCCTTAGATAGGAAGCCTAATCAGTGCTAAATTTGCAGGTGTTTCAGATCAGATATTAGATCTGTGGCAATGTTGAGTCAGCACTCCCCCCCCCCTCTTTGTCAGGTCTAGGTGGCAGTGACAGATTTTGTTGACTTTACACGTCAAACATCGGTTCAGGAGGTGCTGCTTTTAGCACCTGCGCTTAACTATTCACTGGAAATTTATAGGTCCTAAACTGAAACGGGGATGTCGCTTCTCTTCTGTTGCAGGATATTCCTATTAAACTTGCCCAGCAGAACTATGAAGATTCCCACAAAACCAGGTTCCATTTTGCAATGAACGGGAAGTCCTTCGCTGTCATCCAGGAGCACTTCCAGGACCTAGTGCCCAAGGTCTGTCTCTGCCCAGCTTTGGGGGTCTCGCTCTGCCCGTGGGGCAGCTCCGCCCCTGAGTGCGCCTCCAGGGAGGGCCGATGGGGAGGTCCCCCAGGCCCCCACGCTTCCAACAGAGCTTCTCCCCTCTGGCTTTTCCCAGCCTTGAAAGAGCCAGAACTGAGCCTGCGCTTCCTTTGGACTTTCTGAGGCTTTTCCCCCTGGGGGGAGCAGGAAGGGGGGCCACAGCAGCAGTTCTAGAGAGGCGCCCCCTCTCCTCCTCCTGAGAAATACTGCAGAATGAAAAGATGCTAAATGTTTCCTCACAGTTAAAGGTGCATTCTAAAGGAAAAGAATGATGCCTTGAACTTTTCCCCCTGTTGCCAAACACACACACACACACACACACACACACACACACACACACACACAAACACACACACACAACGCAGCAACTGTTGTCCTTCCCTCACCCCAACCCCCGAATGCTGAGAGATTCCTCCCCTTGCCTTCCAGCTTGTTCTGCATGGCACGGTCTTTGCCCGCATGGCCCCGGACCAAAAGACGCAGCTGGTGGAGGCCCTGCAAAATGTGGAGTAAGTACAGGATGGCAGCTCCCCCCCTCCACTTCCTCCCCAAGAACAGGCAGAACCTCGCTGCTGCTGCTGCTGCTCCTGCTCGGCACCTGGCAACAAGCAGGATCTCTGCCCTTTTGTGGGGGCAGGGCTGCCAAGGTCACCAGACCCGAGAGAGACTGGAGCAGGGAGCTGGCTGCTGCCTGGCCTTGGGCTCTGCTGCTGCTGGGGGGAGTGGGGGGGGGAGGACACGTAAGAAGCATCCCCTCCTGCCCATGGCCCATCAGCCTCTGGGGTCACCTTTCCCAAAAGTGGGGGAGGGGCTGCCGAGGAGGGCTTTTGCTTCTGTTGACCCCTTGAAGGCTGGTCATCCAAGGGGGCTGGTCGGGTACATCCAGGGAAGCAGTTTGTGGGAACCTTTGCTGGATGACTCTCCTGGGGGATCCCTGGAACGCCCCCTCCCCACCCGCCCCTGCTCACCCTCTCTGCTGTCTCTTGCAGCTACCATGTGGGGATGTGCGGGGACGGAGCGAACGACTGTGGCGTGAGTATTCCCCCCTCCCCACTGCAGCTGCTCAGTTGGGGCCAAAGAGTTGGGTCCCTCTCAACCTCTCTTCTTCCTGGGCAGGCTCTGAAGAGGGCCCATGGCGGCATTTCACTCTCCGAGCTGGAAGCCTCCGTTGCTTCTCCCTTCACCTCCAGGACAGCCAGCATCTCTTGCGTGCCGAACCTGATCAGGTAAAGGGTTTGGCGTTGCATAGCCGGAGGGCCCTCCTCCATCGGGCCGAGCACCAGGGCGGCTGGCCCTTCAGGGGGACCATGCTGAGGTCTGCCGGCCACTGGCTAAGCCCCTCCGGACGTGGTGCTCAGGCCACAGAGCCGAGGCTCCACCGCCCAAGTGGGTGTCATGCCAGAGCAGCCGCTTCCTTCCCTGGGAGGGTTGGGGGTCACGGAATCACCCAGGCTGCCTCCTGCTTTGGCCCCCACGTTGCAAGAGCCGGAACCTTTTCCCAGATGGGCCTGGCCTTTCGGGGTCCTGGGCTGCCCTGAGACGTGGTGCTTCCCTTTTGCACAAGATGTGCATGGGCGAATAGCGGGTGGCTCTCCCCGGCCACACAAGCCCCCTCCCTTATGAGATGGGCTGAGCAGGAATTCTTGGCTCCCCCCCCCCCCCCCCCCGGAGGAAAAGTGGAGATGGGCGGGATTGTGGTTGTCTCCATGCCTGCTGCTTTGCTTTTGCAGGGAAGGCCGGGCTGCCCTAATGACTTCCTTCTGCGTGTTCAAATTCATGGCTTTATATAGCATCATCCAGTACCTCAGCGTGACTCTGCTGTACTCCGTGAGTCTCTGGCCATTCTGGGAGAGGCAGGATGTCCCTGGGCACCTTCCCCGAGCTCCTGTGGCGCCCGTCCCGGGGGAGGCTCCAGGGGCCGCGAGTGTGTTCTGTGTGATGTGCTTGCCGCTTAAGGTGGGCCCCAGACCTGCTCAAAACGCACCCAGGGAACTAGAATCTGCTGTGGAGCCAAGCAGGTTTCATAGAGCAGGAGGAGAGGAAATTTGCACCTGGGCTTCAGCAAGTAGGCACCCAGCGAGTGAAGCGGCTTTCCAGGGGAGAGAAAGTCAGCCTGGGTGAGCAGGAAGCTGAGCCGATTCTGTTTCGGAATCTGGGTGCTTCAGGAGGAGGAGGAGGAGGAAGCATTCAGGACACCACGCCCCCTTTGAGAGAGTAGCGGGGCGGCAGAGGCCTGGATTGCCCAGGGCTCGAGAGAGGAGACGGGGAAGTGCAGGGTCTGGACTACCAGCAAAAGTGGGGGGAGGGGGGGAGGGCACAGATTGGTACAAGCCTCAGAGGGAGGTTTAGGAGGATCTGGTTAGCAGAGATACTCAGCGACCGCAAGAAGAAAGTGAGGCATCCCCCTCTCTACTCTGGAGGATGGAAGAGTCAAGGAAATCAGTATACGTACAATTGCTATTAATCTTAAGGAAAATGTAATGACAAGCCAGGGTGCTGCTGGGATGATAGAGGTTCCCCCCGCTGAGAGGGCAGGACAGGGGAGTCCTTCCAGGTGGGCAGAATCGTCTTTACAAAGTCCCTACTTTAAAATCCGGCCATCCGGATTTCAGGAATAAAAAGCAGAAACGGTTCTTCCCTTCCCTTCTTGTTCTGGGGAGAAGCAGCTGCGGGGTGCTTTAGCGGGGAAGGGGCTGCCACTTCCAGGCACTCAGAGGGGAGGGGGAAGGTGCTCCTTTCCATCCCTGCCCCTGTGCCTTTGCCCAGACAAGACGGCCGCAGGATGCCTTCCCTAGCAGCCACCTTGCAGGGGTTCCCAGGACTGGCCCCATGGAGAGGACTCAGGAAGGGCTGTGAAGGGGGAGCACGAAACTCAGCCTGGTGGGGAGGGGAGGCAGGGGCCAGGGGGGAGGAGTAGCTGCATCCCCCACCCCCTGATGAAGGTGCAAACTCTCTTCTGCAGGTCCAGAGCAATTTGGGAGACTTCCAGTTCCTCTTCATCGACCTGGCCATCATTTTGGTGCTGGTCTTCACCAGTGAGTAGGACAGGCTGGGGCCTCTGGGTTGGGGCTTGTGCTGGGGGAGCAAGTGGTCTCTCCCCTGGAGGAGAATCTGAAGCACTGGGATCCCTACCTGGCTGCAGAGAGATGGAGGAGGCTCTTGTCCTCCCCCTCCCAGCCTGGTGGCTTCCTTGAGGGGCCCAGGCAAAGGCTTTTCTCCAGTGCAAAGGTTCCTGGGCCGTTTTGCCCCGCAGGGGGGCAGGAGGGGAAGGCCTCCCGACAGGCTAACCTCCTCCTTTGCAACCTAATTTGTCATCGTGTATGAACTCAGCCAGTCTCTCCCAAAGAGCTTAATTTGTGTCAGTCCAAAGACTTTTGCTGTCCTTTGTGTGGTTTCTTCTGGTGAGCAGATTTCCCTAACTGCCCCCCTCTCCTCTCCCTGCAGTGAGCCTGAACCCTGCGTGGAAAGAGCTTGTGGCCCAGCGGCCGCCTTCCGGCCTCATCTCAGGGGCCCTCCTCTTCTCCGTCCTGTCCCAGATCCTCATCTGCCTAGGTTTCCAAGTTCTGGGCTTCCTGTGGGTCAAGCAGCAGCCCTGGTACGAGACTTGGAGCCCCTTCTCAGAGTAAGTGGCCAGCATGCTAATCCAGCGCGCTTGAGGTCACCCCTGCGGCCCCAGGGAGAACAGTGGCCCTGGCAAGCAAGGCTCTCCCGGCTTTTACTGGGAAGCCCCTTTCCAGCTGCTTCCGTACCTCTTCAGAAATCGTTTCAGTTGCCACGGCTTCGGGAGTGGGTAACTGTTCCCCAGCCGTGGCACAGAGAAAGCGTGCATGACAAGAGGCCACGGAGTAGGGCACGCATGTATTTCTCACTACCAGAGTCCTGAGCTGGGATTCAGGAAATCTGCATTCTGAGCCTTCCCCCACTAGATGGCAGCCGGGTGTTATAGCAAGTTGAGCATTTTGCTGTCACCTAGTGGCCGTCAAGACTTCTGCACCCTGTGAAACTGTCTAGCTTGGCAAGCGGTTGCTTGGTCCTCCCCTTTCCTCAGCATTTTTCTGCTTTGAGTACTGACAAAACACGGGAGAGGCACCCGGTTGGACCCTGGGAAAATCCAGGTGCTGGGCTAAGGCAGGCCCTGACCCGACCCAGCAGAACGGCTCTTGCCTTGTTTCCGGCTGTCTCAGCAGAGCCCAAAGCCTCGGTGCCTAAGGCTGAGGTGCTGCTGTGTGGCCCCACGGAAACCCTGTCCGCACTCACTCGCTGTGAGGGGACGTCGGCCGTGTTCTGTTTCCCCACCACCACCCAAAAGTTCAGAGAAGGCTGTTAGTTACCCACCCGGAGATGGGAAGAGTTGCTCTGAGAGGAGGGGCCGCAGAGCCTGTGAACCAGTGCTCCTTCCTTGCCCCTAAAAGGCTGTGGCTAGTAGGGTGGCGGCTTTGCCACCAAGATTTCTGCCAAGTATCTGCAGGCGTACTTAGAAGCCGTGGGTGGGTGTGGGGGGGCGGGGGAGATGCGTTCCAGGTGAGACCTAACAGCAGCAGCAGCAGCAGCAGGATCCTGACAGCTGCTGGTCTCTGCACATTTCAAGGGCAACGGAAACCCTCCTCCCCTTCCCCAACCCCAGGTGGGTTCATAAAATGGGCTTCTCCCCTGCCACTTTCACCCTCTTCCTCCAGCAGAGGAAGGCGAGACCTCTGGCGGGAAGAGAGCCACGCTCGTCTGCGTGGCCGAAAAATCAGGACCAGCTTTTCCGCCTTATTTTTTTTTCAAAGGCAGAACATTTTCACCATCTGCACTTTGGATGCTGGGAAGAGACTAGCCGGTTTAGGATCTAAATATTTTCTTCTTCACCATATTGTTCTTTTGGAACAAGGCTTCCTAATGTTTTAGCAAAAATAAGGAGTCTCTAATAGCACTTTTTCAGCCAATTTTATTACGAGGCAGAAACTTAGATTGGGGTGAGATGGGAACGGAAGGGAGGTTGGCCATGCAGATTGCAGACCTGTGAGAGGATTTTCCTGCTCAGTTAAACATTTTATGCAGCTTGAGCCATTTCTCGCTCAGTGGTGCCTCAGCCTAGCCGTTCCCAGCATCTGATGAAAGGAAGCTCAGATTCTCCCTGAGTTTTTGCTGCCAGCCTGGCCGGGGGTCAGAATAGCCCAGTTCAATCCTGGCTGCAGTTTAAAGTGAGCCTCTGGAGGGAGATAGGTAAAGCCGCCCAGCTTCCTTTCCCCTTTACAGACCTTGCCCAGCTGAGGCTCTGGAGCCAAGAGTGGGAACATGGGCGCCTCCTAGAGTGTGAACGAGAAGGCTGCTCAGGGCGGGGGGTGGGGCCTCGGGGGCCCCTGCAGCTGAGCTGGGACCGAGCAGAGACCAGATTCCGGGGTGCTGCGGAGCAGGATTGGGTCTGTTCTCCCCCCCGCCCTCCAATGAAGACGATGCTTCCCTGCTTAGCCTGCAGAAAGCCTGGCAAGGAGGGGGGGCAGCTTGTTTAGGGTCTGTCTGGTTGCTCCCTCCCGCCCTGGGCCTGGCTGTGCTGGATGCCCGCGGAGGAAGCCAGTGGCAGAGCCCAATCCTCCCTTCCGCTTGTCTTCCAGCGCCTGCAACCTCTCGGCCATGGCCAACGCTTCCCAGCCAGATAACGTCTCCCATCACGACGAGCACAACATCCGAAACTACGAGAACACCACTCTCTTCTTCATCTCGAGCTTCCAGTACCTCATCGTGGCCGTGGTCTTCTCCAAGGGCCGGCCCTTCCGCCAGCCCTGCTACAGGAATTGTACGTGGCCCTGGGGAGGAGCAGAGCCGCTTGGTTTGGGGGTAGGCCGGGAGCCTTGCAAAGGCTGCACGTGTACACGCATGCCCACACACCCCTCAGCAGAGACTGGTTGGCGGGGAAGGTCTTGGGGCCGCCACTAGAGGGAAGCGCTGGCATGCAAAAGGTATCAACACTGGCCCCCCATCAGGGCAGGGGTGGAGCAGGCAGGGTTGTTCTGTCATCTGCTGACCCCTCTTCCCTCCCCAGATCTGTTCGTGGTCTCTGTCGTGGCCCTTTACGCCTTTGCTCTGACCATCCTGCTGCACCCGGTGGCAGCCATTGAATCCTTCTTGGAGGTAGGCGAGGGAGGCGTCTGGCCCCCAGCCACAGCCTCGGCCCCCTCCCTGGGAGCTGAGCCCTTCCCCCCACCCTCCTTGGAGTGGGCTTTGCGGCAGTGGCCCCTCTGGCTCTAGAGCCAACACGCGTCTGGGGGAGGGGGGCTGATTGGGGAGCCTCGAGGATGGCATTCCCGGGAACCCGCCTAGGGTGGGCTTCTCCCCTGTCCCAGTGTGGCCCTCGGGGGCTCCTGCCCAGGAGGTGCAGCCGCCCAGCCTCTGAGTGTGTGGTTGCTCCACAGCTCGTCTGCGTGCCTCACGCGTGGCGTGTCACGGTGCTTCTCCTGGTCATGGCCAATGCTGCGGTGTCCATGCTGGTGGAGGTAAGCCATGGGAGCCGGTCTTCCTGCTGGAGGGGAGGCCGAGCAGGCAGCCCCACGACTGGCCCTGCCAGACCCGAAAGGGGGTGGGATTCTGCTTAGCCCCCTCTTCCGAAACAGGTGGGCTTCTTCAAGCCTGGCTGTAGTTGGGACTTAGTTGAGCCTCTCCTAAGGGGGAGCTCCGGAGGCCCCCCTGGCGCTGAGAGCACGAGGGACCCACGATCCAGGCACCGGATGTGCTGGGCGGGAATGGTTGCCCTCTGCATGCGCCTGTCTGCCGCCTCCCCTCCTCCTGGGAGCCCCCTCCCCAGCTTTCCTTCTATGCACTGACTTAATGGCCCCGACTTTGCTCTGGTTCTGGAGCCTCTCCTGATTGTGCCTTCTCGATTCTCCCTGCTTCTTGGATCAAATCACAGAACTTTCTCCTTGACATGGTCCTTTGGAAGGTCCTCTTCAGTCGAGACAAGCAAGGGGAAGACCGCCTAGCTTCCTCTTCCTCCTCCTCCTCCTCCTCTTCCTCCTCCTCCCACCCGTCTCAGGTTGGAACTCTGCATGTTTCCCCCCTCTTCAAGCATGCAGCGGCCCCCCTTCGAAGGCAGTAGGTGGGGGTGGGGGGGCTCAGCTGCCGGTGGAGATAGAGCTTGTACTCGCCTGTGGAGGTCTTGGCGGGCAGTGGGGGCGGGGCACGTTGTGGTGGGGAGAGTAGGGCAGGGTTAGGGTCTTGGCTTTGCTGCAGTCCCCCACCCCCAGAAGCTCCAGGGGATAGAGAAAGTGGGTGGCGAAGTGGGCCAGATGGTGAGTGGGGATGGGGGTCTTCTCCCCCAGTTTAGAGGACTGGCAGGTTGAGCTACAGCATTCCCCTCTCGGCTCCCGTGTGGGCAGAGGACGATGCTCAGTTGGTCTGCAGCTGAATTAGAGCACCCTGGGGAAGGGGGGGGCAGTGGGGGGGTTAGGAGGTACAGATAGTCGGCTCAGGAATCCTCCCCTTTTTGCCTTGTTTGAGGGGCCAAGGGTCAGGCCAGCGGGGCTGCCCAGCTTCCCACCCTCTGTCTCTTTCCAGGAGGGGCTGGACCGTTGCCACGGATGCGCCCTGCTGGGGCTGCTGGGCCTGAAGAAGAGGCCACCCAAGGCCCGCTACGTGCACCTGGCCCAGGAGCTGCTGGTGGACCCGGAGTGGCCGCCCAAGGGCCGCACCACCACGGAGGCCCCCAGCCCCTCCTGCCAGAACGGCGCCTGCCAAGTGATCACCATGACGTAGCAGAGAGCCCCCCTGGCGCACGGCCTGGCCTCTCTGCTGCTGACCGGATGGACGGACGGACGGACGGACGGGCTCCGCTCCCCTCCCCTCCCGCCCTGCTGATGCCAGTCTTCCTCCCACCAGCTGAGCACCTGGAAGGACTTTCCCTCCCCCGAGGCAAGGCTTAGCGACCCGAAGGGATGGTGCCTGCCTGGCACTCCTGGCCACTCTTGGTGTCCCGCAAAAGACCCTCTGCATTTCCCAACGGCCAGAAGTGCTTCTCCATCTGGAACTACGCATGGAAAAGGGCATTCGGCCCCACCTGAAACATGGGGGACACTCTGGCTGGTCTCCGGGAGAGGGGAGGGTTGCTCCCTCTGTCCTCCCCCGACCCTGGGAGGGCTAGATTTGCCCCTCCCTGCCTGGCTGAATGGGGCTCTCTCTGCTGCTCGCTCTCGACCTGGCCTCCAGGAAAGTTGCTGGACCTGTTTGGGGGCTTCTCAGGCTGCTAGTTGCCAGATGGTGAGCCTCCCTTCCACCCCCCAAAAAAAAACCCTCTCACCACACCAGGAGATACAGCCCCCTCCCCATCTGGACTTGAAGGTGCTTTGCAAAGCCCAGGGGCCGGTCCCAGGAAGCAGGAGGAGCCGGCAGCTTCCCATCCTCATCTTCCTTCCACAAGAGCTCTACGCAGGCGCAGGCTGGCTGCCTTCTGCCCTCCTCCCCAGGCCCCTCCCTCCGGGAGCCCCTGGCCGGCTGGAGCGCCTTGCCTTAACCGGTGGGAGCGCTTGGCAGAACCCTGGCTCAGAACAGCCATGGCGGCTCCGTCTGGAGCCAAAGCTTTTCACTGTGACCGCATCGCTCGGGGCATCACCAGCCGCCCCTCAAGGCCGCCTGCCGAGAAGAAGGCCGGAGCAGGCAGGCAGAAGGGGCAGCAACCCCAGCTGCGCAGTCTTTTCAAGGCTACCCAGAGGCCGAAGCGTTAGGCTGGGCAAAACATGACCTCTCAAACTGCTGGCCTGTTGAAACAGTGGCTGTGCCAAGATCGCAACTCCTCCACAACGGTGCTAATAGTTGGACGGCAGCAACAACCAGGAAAGGCTGCCAGAGAAGCCCGCTGCAGTCAGGCCTTCAGCCCCGTACCACATGCAAAGGAAGGGGGCCCACGTGGCGTTTCCCCCTTCTGCATTTGAAATTCACAAGGATCTGACTTTGGCGGTGGTGATGAAAGAACCTGCGAGGCTCATTTGACCCTCGAATTGTTGCTTGCAAGCACCTCCTGCTGCTGGGAAGCGGTGGCTGCCAGAGAATGGGGGACCCTTTTCTGGTAAGGGGCCACCGTGACTGCCAGCTGCACCTACCAGCTCTTACCCCCCCCCCCACTAGGCAAAGAAAAGGGGGCTGGTCAGCAGACTTTGAGGGACTCGTAGGGACCGCCCGCACAGCGTCTGCACAGGGTCATCGGACTAAGAGCAATACTGTTAAACCCACCCTTTGGTGAGCAGTTGTGGGGACCCCCTCAGAGCAAGCTGGTCTCCCCTCTGGAAGAGATGTGATGCATCTTCAATCTGTTCCAAGGAGGCTTAAAATTCAGAAGTTTTTAAATGATTATTTTCTTATACTTCCTTGAAGGCTTGTGAATTCAGGTGAAGAAAGGTCACTTTGCTAACTTGGATTCAGAGTGGTTCGTAAATTATTTGAGACAGACTTACCCCTAAAGCTGTTAAGATTGTATATATGGCCAATTAAATATTATTTTATTATTTATGCATAGCTCTAAAAGACTTGCTCAAAAAAAGAGCAACTCTTAAATTATACTTTTTAAAATATCCAGATTTTAAAATAATATATATATACACAGACACACACACCTCCATCCCTCAGGGTGTTTTTTTTATTTCTTTTCTTTCTTCCCAAATAACGGTAATTATAAGACTGCTGGGTGTCATGGCACACGTGGGCAGGACACTCACACTCCTTTCCCTGGAAGCTGCTTGTACCCCCAGTGCTTTCGCAGCTGACACACAGCAGCCCCCACCCACCTACAGGGTAGCCTCCCCCCCCCCCCGACTCCAGAGTGAATGGGGAGGGGGCAGGAATCCTCTCTAATATTGGGGTCTTCGGGTTCTGCTGGTGGAAAGATGGCTGCCTCAAAGGGGTAAAGACTGCCACCCAATTCCCTCTGGCAGTGTTTTCATTCGGCCATTTTGAGAACTTTCCCTCCTCTTCATTTTTATTTATTTTTCCAGCGGATAAACGGTTTTCCTTCGCTGGGTGATTTTATCTACTGTAATATATTATGGCTGCATATCAGTAGTTACAAGGTGAAGAATAATTCTTAATGCTGCAAATGATCTTATTCTCAAAAGTTTTCCTTGTCACAGACTTAAAAGGGCTTCTTTAGCTTGCAAAGATTAAATTCTAAAATCAAATGTATATGTGATGGAAAAATTGATTTAAAGGTTCAGATATGATCATTTTAGGGCATAGAAATGTCCAATTTTTAAAAACTGTATAAATATGCAAACATTTGGATAAATTATGCATTCTCTGCCACCAGCACCTCAGGTCAGGATTGGCAAGATCCCATCATCTTAAAATGTTTGAAAAATACTTTTGTTTTAACAAGTGGCTCCACATAAAAAAATTATTTTGCTGTTTTTTATAATGGTACCCAGTTGTAATAAAGACATTTTATGTAATTGTAGTAAACGGCTTTGTAAAATCCCATTATTGGAGTAAATCTGATGTGCCCTTTCCACGTTCCTGGGCTGCTGTGGCTACTAACCACACTGGCTGCGTTCCCTCTCTGGCTGCTGCTTTCGGTGGGTCAGGCCCTTGAGGAGGAAGCGGAGCCCCCAGCCCTGAAAAGCAATAACTGGACGTATGGCAGGGAAATTCTGTGTTAGGGGACCTGATCATGACACGAAGGCCCATGACGGAGTGGAGTCACCTCGCAGGGTGAAAAATTCAGCCAGGCAAGGAGGAGACCATTAGCAAAGATCCAGCTAAAAAATGGTGTGGGTGGGGTACAAGGCTCTGCTCTGGGAAACAGCCAGGAACCCCCCCCCCAAGCTCTCTTCTCTCCGCTCCATATACCTGCAGAGGCCCAGGGTGGAGGAGCCTCCAGAGTGGAGGACCTGGCAGGGGATGCCATCGCCTGCCCCACTGATGCCCTGGGGACCCTTCAGCCCGCATTCCCATCCCTGGGAGCTCATTTCCAAGGCTTTGGAAAAATCACAGTAAGGGTCCATTCTGCCCTGGAGGAGCTCTGCTTCTTGAGTGGAAGTTGGCCCACGCCTATCTTGCTTGGATGGGGCAGTCGGGAGCCCGCTTATCTCCCTTGCTCCCAAGTGTCTTGGAAGCTGGCACCTTGCAAGGACCACGCACACCATGGGGCTGGGAAAGCGGAAGGAAGGAGGAGCAGAAGCTGGGCAGGAGGGGGGAGAGCTTTGGGCCTTCCCTTTGCGACGGAGGCGGTGGCAGTCGGGAGCCCAGGCAATCCCTGCTCAGTCCCCTTCCCAGAGATGCCAGCCGCCGTTGCCGGCAAAAGTCGGGACATCTGCCGCTGTGTCCTGAGCCCAACCGGAATCGAGCAGGAGCCGTTTTGGAGCCAGGGCAGGAGGTCGGCTGCCCTGGAGCCTCAGCAGGGAAGCCGTCTGGGCGAGTCTAGTCCAGTCTCAGCCCAACCCACCTCACAGGGTTGTTGCTGTGCGGGAAAATAGGAGAAGGAAGGGGGGTCAGGGATGCTCGCCTCGGACGCCTCTCATCCCAGCCTCTGCCGGGGCTGGCAGCGTCCTTCTCCCGGACGCAAAACACGCGCCTTCCTCGGCCATGTGCTTGGAGAAGCCCCTCCGTCTGCCAGGAGCGCCCCGAGAGGCTTTCCCCGCTGCTTTGCTCAGGGCGCATCTCTGCCTTCCGCGGGGATCCACTTCCGCCTCCCCGCCACCCTCCCCGGGCCAGCCGGGTAAAAGGAGGGGTAAGATGGGCGCCGCTTCCAGGTGCAAACGGCCCCCGGCCCGGAGCGCCGCTTCCTGCAGAGAAGCAAAGTAGCCTTTCTCCCGTCTCCCCCATCCCACCCCATCCCCCGTTTCCATCTGGAGGAAACCCACTGTCCACTCGCTTTGCCTTCCCTTTCCTTGGAGGCGAGGACCGACCCTTTGGCCAAATGGGACCCGAGGAGTGTTGGGCGGCTTCCTCCTTCCTCTATAACAGACCATCATCACCTGGTCGCGTTTTCTGAGGCTCCAGGCTTCATCGCCTAGTACCCCTTTATACTGTGTTGGTGAGACCGCCCTTGGAATCCTGCTTCTAGTTTTGGTCACCATGTCATAAAAAAGATGTTGAGATTCTGGAAAGAGTGCAGAGAAGAGCAACAAAGGGGACTGGAGGCTAAAACATAGGAAAAACAGTTGCAAGAATTGGGCATGTCTAGTTTAATGAAAAGAAGGGTGACATGATAAGAGACTTCCAAGATTTGAGGAGGTGTCATGGAGAGGAGGAGGTCAACTATTCTCCAAAGCCCCTGAAGGCAGAACAAGAAGCAATGGATGGAAACTAATCAAGGGGAGAAGCAGCCTGGAACTAAGAAGGAATTTCCCGACAGTGAGAACAGTTAACCAGTGGAACAGCTTGCCACCAGAAGTTGTGGGTGCTCCATTGCTGGAGGTTTTTAAGAAGAAATTGGACAGAATGGTATATTATCTCCTGCTTGTGCTGGGGGTTGGACTAGAAGACCTCCAAGGTCCCTTTCAACTCTTATTCTGTTCTGTTAAGTTCTGAAATGAATCCTTGAGCCCCACGTTTTCTCATTTCAGGGGCCAGAGAGTCAGAAAGGCTGAAGAAACATTTGTTAGCCAGCCAGTTTCGTGGGCTTTGTCAGTTTTGGTATCCTTCCAGCCCCTCCACCCCAGGGGTTGCCCATCAGCTTCAAATGTCCCCCTACTCTATAGGCATCAGAGCCAAGCTGGCAGGCTCTGCTCCCTCATCTGGAAGGCTGTTCCTGCTTTGGCAACTTTCCATAGGCTACTGTCTTCCTCTCCCTCCCCCCCCACCTCTCACACACATACAGAAAGGTGGGGGGATGCATAGAGTCCAAAAACATGATTTATTGGACTGTTCAGGATAAAGGACTGAGAGAAGAACTAGGCTAGTCTGATTAACTATGCAGGATCCAGCCAAATTTGGTCTGTCATTTTATAAGTTGTAAGGAAACTCGTAATAAACCGCCTGGGTAAGCCAAGGGAAATCAAAACCATAAAAAAGTGAAAGTTAGAATATTTCAGACATGTAATGCCACACCCAAAAAATACAGCATCCTTCACTTAATCCTCCAGGGAAAGATTGAAGGCAAACGATGTCTAGGCAGAAGAAGGACATCATGGCTTCGAAATCTAAGGGACCGGTTTGGACAAAACTTAGCAGCATTTTTTCATGCAGCTGTTGATAAAAATGGGATTGCCAACATGATTGCCAACATCTGATGACAAATATGGCACAACAAGAAGAAGGAAACTCGTGGTGACGAAGATGGTAAGTGAATGTACATTAATATGGAGTTCTTTCCATTTGGCTGAGAAGTCAAGTAATCTGCAGCAAATGTTGGAGAGATTATATGAGGCAACAAGAAGAATGGATAGGAATTCAAAATTATATAGGATTATATAATTATATAAAGTTATATAGGATAGACTTCAAAGTTATGTTTAACAGGAAAGATGAACAACTGCAAGTCTATAGCTGGATGGCAGGACTCAGATGTTTGGGGTGGATTATATGTAACAGGGCTGTCTGGCTTGGGCCTGAATGTCATTTCCTTATTTCCTGCCTCCAATTTCTGAGGTTACTATTTTGGGGCAGGCAGGCAGGCAGGCAGGCATGGCTATGTTCATTTCCACTTGGAAATGCCCAGTGGGATGGGGGTGCCTGACTCTGGGCGGTCCAATACAGACCGTCCCAGCTGCCCCCTTTCCTGCTGCCCCCAGCTGGCAACCTGCTGAAAGGGCAGTCAAGCCAGAGGCAAAAACCTGGCCCAGCCCATGCCAAGTCAGCAGGGCCCTTCAGCAGCCGCTTTGAGGAAGAGTCCAGCTTGGTGATGTGGACAGGCACTTTCCCAGTGGTGTCAACCGCAGAGGGGCCTTGCAATCTGGATGGAGGAAGTGGTGACGTGGAGCTTCCAGAAGGATCCCTGCCTGGAAAGGCTCCATGTGGCTAACAGAGGGGGAGGAGGGAGATGCTCCAGGCCGCAGCAGCGGCAGCAGCAGCCGCCCAGGGAGGAATCCAGTCAAAGAGGACTGAACAGCAGCAGCCCAACCGCAGCAGTTTCCCTGCCAGGGAACACACGGCCCAGGATGCTGCTTCTCCCACTGAGGCGGGGGAGGGTGCTGAGCACCATCTGTCCCTGTCAAGGGGGAGCCTGCAGGACCCCCAAAGGGGTGGGTAGCTGCTCCTATTCCTCTTCCCTGGCAGGAAGGTCCCCTTTGAACCTGGGGCTTTGCCTCTCAGAGCAAAAGTCTCACGCGAGGCTCCTGGGGGCACCTCAGGGAGGTCAGGGTGTGAGAGCCACTGGACAGTGTGGCAGAGGATCCAGCCCTCCAGATGAGAGGCAGAGGGTTCCTTCTCATCCACAGGGCAGCCCGCCCGCTGCCAGCCTACATGAAACGAGGAGGGGGGGCATTGCCTCCAAGGACAGACAGAACCCTACTCTGTGGCCCTGTTTGGCTGCTCCTACTGCTGGCCCTGTCCGTGGGAAAGCTGCCACAAACTCTGCTCCAGCAGGACTGGGGCATCAGGCACTGGCCAGACTGGCACAGTCAGATGCAGATCAACCAGTTGCTCAGAACAGCCTTCAAATATCATGGTTGGTTTTGCTGAGGAGGCCGTCGCGCCAGCCCAGCTGATTTGGGCAATTTAGGGTAACCAGGAAAAGATTGCTTCTAGACTGCGTCCAAAATGCCATTTGGGGCCTGTGGAAATCTGCTTTCCTTGAAGGAAGGAGGGGAGGGGCTCTTTTTCCTTTGCTTCCCCCGCCAAAAAAAGAGGATCGCTTGGGGCCCCCTGTTCCGCCTGGGAGTCACACAAAATCCCTTTCCTTCTCTTTTTAATCCTCTGCCTCTTTCTGTGGCTTTGTTCTCATTTAAAGGAATTTTGAATTCCGAGAGGTCTTTGGGACATCCTGTTGTTGATGTTCGCTTTATGTCATGTTAATGCTGCTTTCATCTCTGGTTTTATGGTGTTGATTTTGACTGGCTGTATGTGGATTTGGCTGAAGACGGGCTGATTACCGCAGGCCCCTGTGAGAGCTGTTGGCTGCCAGTGAGGAGAATCAGGCTTGGAAGTCATTATCGGGAACCGTGGGGGGCTGCCAGATTTTGAGCAAGTCCTGGGACAGTAATATCCTCCCCCAACTCTCCTGCTGCAGACTCTGACATGGGAACTGCTGAGCCCAGGAATTTGGTCAGGAAGCTGCCTGTGGACTCATTTTCAGAGGCCTGGAGGAGCTGCCGGGATGAAACGCTGACACTGCAAGCAATCTGCAGCCTCCCTGCAGGAAGGCAGCCGGAGAAGCAGGGAAGGGCCTGATGGCGCCTATGAAGATGTCTCCTTCTGCTGTCTCTTTGCGGTCTCCCCATTCAAGTGCCACCTTTTCCCCTACAGGACTACTCCCCCCCAGCATCCACCCCATGTGAGGCCTGGGGCACCCCAAAGGATGCTGCCTTTCATGGGGGAGAGAGAAGCTCCATTTGGGGGTCATTTTGAGGCTCCCCTCCTCTTCCTGGGGGGTGGTTTCTGCAGAGTAGAGCACCCAGACGAGGGGGGCAGCTGGGGCTTCAGCTTGGTGGAACCAGAGCATGGATTCCAGGGAAAGTCTCCCAGAGGGGTACGGGGTGGGGGGGACACAGGGTGGAGAAGACGGGCAGAAGGGAAATGGCTTTATCAGGGAGGGGCTCTGGCAGGCCACTCAGCAGAGCCCCCAGCAAAAGCTTGCACAGGTGGGAGATCCAAAGGAAGTCCTTTTCCCATAGGACACAGCAGGGGATTCAGCAGGATCCTGGCTGGGTCCACAGCACATGCTCACTTGCAAAGGGATAGATATCACTTGCAAAGGATACCACATTAGGCAATAAAATCAAACCAAGGTAAAAACTACTGAAGCCCCACCTGTTGAACACAGGCAGCCCCAGCACTTCACTGAGCTGCTCAGAAAGGCAAAGTGGGCCACTAAGACTGAACTGGCCCAGAGGCTGGCTTGGGGATCACAGGGGGCCCGCAAAGCCTGAGCATCAGACTAGATGACCTCTAAAGACCCCATGACTTTAGGAAGAATTATATTGGCAAGCAGGTGGACTCTCCCACCTGGGTTGCCTACATTCCCTCTGGTGCACAGAGGCGCAAGAGAGTCATTGCTGCAGCTTCTCTTACTTACTTACTACGGATCTTGTGAATCCAAGTCCCAGGTCGGCATTTTAAAAGACCCAGGACAGAGGGAGGAGGGACGGAGGGAGGGAGGGAGGGAGGCTGGCTCTCGGGCGGGTCTCTTTCCCCGCTCCTCCCGCTCCCTCCTCGGTTGCAGCAACCTTTGACGCTTCCCCTCGCTGGTGCTTTAAATACAGAGAGGAGGAAGGCGGAGGGTCGCAGCTGAGCCAAAGCCCGGCAGCCCTCGGGACGGGGCCGTCGCCTTTCCTTGGTCTCGGGTAAGTGCCTCCCGGTGCCTCTGCAACGACGGCGGCCTGTTCCCAGGGCTGGCTGCGGGACGGAACGGTGGGGATTCTCCCTTTCGCCTTTCCTTTCCTTTCCTTTCCTTTCCCTTCGCTGCTGGCGGGGAACCGAACCGTTAGACTGCAAGCCAGACGCCAAACGGAGAAAGCGGTTCAAACAAAGAGGACAAAAGTGATCGGAAGCTCCCCTCTCCGAGTTGCTGGGCGCAGGGGTGGGCGTGGGAGGGAGGGAGGGAGGGAGGGAGATGCTAAATTCCTTCTGCAAACGAGACCCCCGCCCCCAAGCGCTCCTGCAGTGCCGAGGAGGGCGGGACCCGGAGACAAGCCCGTCCCGCACCGCGAACTGCTTCCATATGGCCGAGGCAAGGCTGCGGCGTGGCCAGATTCCTTCCTCGGGGAACCGGCGGGGGGCTGATCTGGCCCAGCTGCCGCCGCAGGGAAAGTTCTGTCTTGGAGGACGCGCGCACGTCCGGAGCCTGCGGGGCGGGTCCGGGAGGGAGGGAGGGGCAGCTCGGGATTCCTCCCAGAGGGATGCTCTCGAGAGCACGGCCGGGGGTGGGTGGGCGACCTGGAAACGCCTCTCCCTCGGAGCTCTCCGGGAAAGGAAGGGCGTGCTGGAGATGCCCTAGCCGAGAGCACAAGCAGCCGGCGGCGGCCTCGGGTCCCTCCGTCCTTCGGCCGACGTCCGCTTCCCACGGAGTAGTTCCCAGATGGGGGCTTTCTCCCCGCGACTCGATTCCACACTCACACACAAACACAGGCATAGCTGGGGATGGGATTGCGGGGTTGGTTGGGGTACAACACTCGGCTCAGGGAAAGGGCTCTGCATGAGACACGCGTTGGCCGTGTTCGCACAACACACTCCCTGATCACAAACAGACTTCGCAAGTGGGTTCGCACAACAGGTAAACTTGGTTACTCTTCATTTGGCTTAGGAGTCTGCTGTGTGAAACGTAGTTTGATCGATTTGGGTTCAAAATGTTTATGTACTCAGTGAGTGAATTCAGGAACCAGGTAAAGTGGTTCCTGCGAATGCAGCCAAAGGACAGCGAGTCTGCAGCATCGCGGGCGAACGCGACGGAGCGGCTTCGAAGGTGCAGGCGGTGTACCCTGCCTCTCCCTCCTTCTCGGGCCGGCTGGACCGTCTGAACCACACGCGGGCCCGGGGGCTGCTGTTTTTGAGGGTTGGCTTTGAGCTCAGCAGCTCCCATGACCTCACCCGTCGAGAATACGCTCCCGTGTGTGGGGGAGGGGGAGGGGGTACTGCTCCGATGCCTCCCCCGTCCGCTTGCCCCCTCCCTCCCCGGACTAGAGGCTAGTCCAAGCTCGGTATGATGGGGTGTAATTATGGTGGCCGCAAAAGCTTCGCTCAGCATTTCCGTCGAGAGGCGATTATAGGCTGGCGGGGAAGTCGCGCTGAAAAGGACAGCCTGACGGGGAAGGTGGGCACGGCCAGGCCTCTGAGGTGGGGGCTTCGGTCTCCGTCGCCCCCTCTCTTGTTCTGCGCTCCGGGAGGAGGCAGCCAACGACCCTCAGGAGCACCCGCCAGAGACCAGCCGCGGTCCCTCCGCCCAGATTCTCCTGCCAGACCCGCGCATCATATGACAAGGACAGATCCTGTCTGAGCAGAGGTTCGGAGAAGTTTCGGCCAAGCAGCCTGGAGGCCGGCTGAGCTTGGCCGTCTCCCAGAGAGGAAAGGGGATCCCCTCCCTTGCCCAAAGCTCAGGAGCCCCCCTGTCGGGATAGAGCAGGGTTGGTCTAGAAGAGTTCAGTTAATCCTTCTTACTGATTTCTACTTGTGGTTTCAGGTTGTCTGGTTCCGTCTGATTCTCGAACCTGTCCTCTAACTGTCCCCGACTGTTTGTGTTGTGTGACATCAGGCAATCTGATCTTCTAACGGCCCTCATTCCGCTGTAAAGATGAAGGTTTCCCTTGTCCAGTCGTAACTGACTCCAGGGGGCGCTGCTCATCTCCGTTTCTTGCCCAAGGGAGCTTCCGTTGTCCCGAAAGACCCTTTCCGTGGTCATATGGCCAGCATGGTTATATGTCGAGGCACACGGGACCACTTCCCACCGAAGTGGTCCCCATTTGTTCGCATTTGCATGCGAGGCGGGCTGGACCCCTCAGCCCGTCACGCAGCACTCGGGCCTCGAACCCAAGCAGGCAACTTTCCTGCTCGGTTCTGCTGATAGGCAGTTCCTTGGGTATGCGCAATCGCTGCCCACGTGAGCATCTTTGGCCCTGGTCTGCCACCGGGCGCGGTGCTTGCAGGCCACCGATGTTCCCTGGGGCTCCGACCTCTCATTCTGGCCCAAAAGACGGGAGCATCAGCGTTGCAGGAGCTGCTAGTTGTCCTCCATCCCTGTCCAAGATTGCCTCTTCTTTGCGAAGGCTCTACTTTTTAGCCATTCGGCTTTTATGGACAGAGATCTCCGGCCCAGCTTCCATCCCCTCGCTCAGCCCACCGGACTAATCCAGAGTCTTCCATAGTGAGGGGCAGACAGGGGGGGGATATACAGGCAGGAGGGGCCCCTGGAGGCCGAGTGCTCAGAAACTGGGCTAGGATGGGGGGGGGAATACAGGAAATCCTCTGCCTGCACTTTTTCTACCATTTAGCAGCATCAGGTGGGGAGGGGGGGACAGCCCGGAACTGCCCTGGCACCTCCCCAGAAGGCTCCAGGCTGCCTCTCTGCCGGGAGGGAGCGAGATGAGAGGGTACCCGGTCCGTGCGGGACAGCACAGAGTCGAGTCTCACGCTGGTTTCTCTTTCTCCTCAGGCAACATGGCGCTCCGCTCCGTCCTGCTTCTGAGCTTCCTGCCGTCGGTTCTAGCGGGCGGCGGCTGTCCCCGCTGGTGCTCCTGCTCTAGGACGGCCCAGGTGGAGTGCTCGGGCGCTGAGGTCACAGAGATGCCCGCGCCGCTGCCCGGCAAGGCCATGAGCCTGCAGGTGGTCAACACACGCCTGGCCGCTCTGGGCCCCGCGGCCTTTGGCAACGCCTCGCAGCTGCTCGCCCTACGGATGGAGAAGAACCTGCTGGAGCACCTCAGTCCCCGCGCCTTCTGGGACCTGGGGGCGCTGCGTTACCTGAGCCTGGCAAGCAACAGGCTGCAGGAGCTGCCGCCCGAAGTCTTCCGGCCGCTGGCCCGGCTGGAGGCACTGCTACTGTCGGGGAATCAGCTGCGCCGCATCCAGCCGGCCCACTTCACCGGCCTCAACGCGCTCAAGGAGCTGCAGCTGCACGGGAACCGCCTGCAGGCCGTGCCCCCGGGCGCCTTCGACCAGCTGCCCAACTTGGCCCGCCTCAACCTGGCCCGCAACCAGCTGGTGCGCCTGCCGCCCCGCCTCTTCACGCCCCTGGTGCGCCTGCAGGTGCTGCGTCTCTACGAGAACCAGCTGAGTGAGCTGGCGCCCCGCGCCTTCGGCGGCCTGGGCGACCTGCAGGAACTGGCCCTCTATCAGAACCGGCTCCGCCAGCTCCCCTCCGGCCTCTTCGCCGGCCCACGCAGGCTGCAGAAGCTGCTGCTGTCCGGCAACCTCCTGGAGGTGCTGCCCGAAGGGCTCCTGCTGGGCCTGCCCGAGCTCTCGCGGCTCTCACTCTTTGGAAACGCCCTGCGCGAGCTGCGCCCAGGTACCTTCGGCCCGATGCCGCAACTGCGAGAGCTCCGGCTAGCCGACAACCAGCTGGCCTCGCTGCCCGGCCGCGCCCTGGCCAACCTCACCGCGCTGCAGATCCTAGTCCTGAGCAAGAACCGCCTCGCCTCGCTCGCATCCGCTGCCTTCGCTGGTCTCCAGGGTCTCGAGGAGCTCGCCCTGCACTCCAACCAGCTGGCCACGCTGGACGGGGAGCTCTTGCGCGGCCTGACCTTGCTGCGGAACCTCTCCTTGCACAGCAACCAGCTAGCCACCTTGCCCGCGCGCCTCTTCCAGGGGACCCCGGGCCTGCGCGCCCTTCAGCTGCAGAACAACTCGCTGGAAGAGCTTCCGGCAGGCATCTTCGACGGATTGCCGGAGCTGCGGGACCTCCAACTGCACGACAACCCCTGGCATTGCAACCCCGCCCTGCGGTCGCTCCGGCGCTGGCTGCGGGAGAACAGATCCAGCCTTGGCCGAGAAAGCCGCCACCCCCGTTGCGCCTCTCCACCTTGGCAGCTGGGCCGGTCCCTGCTGGAGCCGGAGGCCACAACCTTCGGTCCCGGGACCTCCGCACTGCCGGAGGGCTGGGGAACCATCTGGAGCCGCACGGAGGCCCCTTCGGAGAGCGAGCCGATGCCGGAGACGCTGTCACCTGAACGCTGGCAGCCGCCGCTGGATAGCGAAGCGGGCAGCGCAGAGGTCGCGCATGAGTTCCTGGAGGAGCTCCCCGAAGCGGGGCGAGGGGGAGGCGGGATTTGGGGCCTGACCCGCACCCAGACGGGGGTCGTAGTCACCTGCATCGTGGTGGGCTCCGCCTTGCTCCTGGGGATGGTGCTGGCAGCGGGCGTCTACGGCTCCAGTCGGAAGCGCTCTGTCCAGGCCAAAGCCTAGGTCTGCCATGGGCCTGGCCCAGTTCGCGCCCTTTCTTCCAACACTCACGCCTTCACCTGCTCCACCACGCCGGCCCCTGCACGGGCTCAGCAGCAGCCTGCCGCACCACAGCTCTAGGCGCTCCTAGCCGACTTTTCTCCCTGGGAATCTGTGCCCAGACGGACGCTGGTGCTCCTTCGCTCGGCGCTTCTTTGAGGCAGGTTGCGCACCTTCGGCTGAGGGACGCCCAGGGCCGGATTCGCAGCAGGACGGCTAGCACGGCCGGGCGGTGCCCGGTCCCCGCACTGGGAAGTCGGGACAGTTTGAGACACTTAGGAAGAGGTGCCAATCCGGGCCCGCTCTTTCTTTATGCAGGCCGCAAATCTCGGCTGTTCGAAGGGGCGGGACCCCCATGCAAGCCCTCCCATCTCCAAAAAGGCGCTTGACTCGTCGATCCCAAGCGGTCGGAGCTTACGCAGGTCACCATCGACCAAAGGCCGGCAAAGGGCTTCTGGGGCGGGCTGGGATACCCCGGGGGTGGCGCGACTTGTACATTTCATATAGAGGCACACAGAGGTCAGCAGGTTCCCTCTAGGGAGGAAGACGCCCTTCCCCCCACCCCCACCCCGATTCCGGAAGCCCTGTGGCTGGCTAAATGGGAACCGGCCTGGCAATTAGCGGTCTTGCCCTGGTTGAGAAAGGCCCGAGGCTCTGCCGCTGCTTCTCAGGCCAGGACGGTGCTCCAGTCGCATCTGGTATCCATTGGAAGAGGACCGCGCTGCGTCTCGAGCCGGCAACGCCCGAGTGATTGGATGTTGCGCTAGAGCAGACCGGTTCCCCAGAAGCCGAGGACGGAAAGGATCCCAGGCGCTGCTACGGTGAACATGGCCGGCTTCGGGGCGCGGGGAAGTTCCCCAGCAGCGGCGCTCAAATGCATTTTGCATTTTTGGGGACCATGGAATCGGGCAGAGACTTTGCCAGTGAGCCCAGAGAGGCAGAGACAGGTGAGACGCACCTTCTCCGGTGCCTGGCAGTTCCGCCGGCGAAGAGTGGCTCGCAATGACGGTAGCGCCTTCGCAGCAGGGAAGACTTGGTTCGGGGGGGGGGGTAGCTCTGGGAGGGAGCAGACGAGCCTCGTGGAGCGGCTGTGGACTAGTGCCCGGGCCTATTAAAGCTGCTCTTCTCGCTTCATCTCAGCCCCCCCTCTTTTTTTTCCTGCATTGCCTTCCCCGGCCTGGCCCCGCGCGATAAAAACAGCCTCTTCCCCTGAGCCCAGGTGGGATGAGAGGGGCGCAGAGGTTGCCCAAGAAACGAGAGGAGGGAGGAAGGTCAGCACAGCATTGAGTGCAGGGGGGTGGTGGTGGTTTCAGATAGCAAGCACGCCAATTTTCCCTCTCCCCTGGGTCAGCTTGAACGTCTTTATCCAGCACATGGTTAATACCTGGAGATGCACTTATGCCCTCAACTCCCACCCCCTCCCCATGGCTGCCAAGCGTGGCTGGGAGTTCAGCCTCAAACTCAAGGTCTTGGTGTGTACACCCCCGCCCACCCCACCCCCGCCATCAAATCAATGTCAGCTGCAGCTTCACCTGGTTCACACGGCATCAAAGCTAGGTCAAGTGAGTCCCCAGCAGCAGCTCTTTTTCCTATGAAGAGCAGTGCCACCCCGCACCCGCTTCACAGCATGACTAGCGCTGCCCAGCCAGAACGGCACTGGACAGAGCGGGGGAAAGCGGGGCGTCTACGGTGGAAGAGTGCCTGGGAGTATCCACTCGCCCACCCGTCAGGGATGGCTCTGGGGCTGCCCTCTATCCCTGAGGCTGGGGGTCCACAGCAGTTCCAGGAAGGGTAGAGCCCCCTGCAGTGCAGGCAGGCCAGTGCAGAGTTCCAAACCCGGGAAGAAGAGGTGTGGTGCCAGTCTTCCAGCAAGAAAGAAAACATGGGAACAACTACACCCACCAAAAGACACTCCTCCCCCATTCCTATTCTTGTTTCTGGCCCTGGGTTGTGTTTGGCCAGGTAAGAGAAGAGGCATTCCTGACTTCTGAAGCGGAAGGGACACGGACACACGGACACACTAGGCTACTAGGATGCCTGGCCACCACCAGGCCCTGAGGATCAGGGGAAGGCAACCAGGGGTTACAGCCCAGGCATGTGTGTGTGTGTCTCACAGGTGAGGTGAAGGTGGCCAAAGAGCACTCCTCCTCCTCCCTTCCATAGGAAGGAGGGCAATCCTTGGTTGACAGAATTGGGCAGGCATAATGGCATTCACACAACATATTTAACCTGACTTCACTTTGTTGAAAAAAATCAAACAAATGCAGGATATGCAAAGCTACAGGAAAAATCTTCTACACCAGGGTCACCTATCAGGGCCGGTGCCTGCTTTTGACATGAACACAGCTGTGTTCATACAACACAGGTTGTATGAACACAGCCAGCGAGAGCCGCCCCGCCCCCCAAGAACTAGGCAAGGCAGGAGACCTGGAAGTGGGTAGCCCTCAGCAGAGGAGGCCATCCTGCTCCCTTCCTGGGCTCAGGAGGCCAGTCCCCTGGGGCTCCCAAGCACTCGGGGGACTTAAGGAACTGGGGAAGCTACTGCTGGGGCTTTGTGAGCACCTGGTGAACCTGGGGCCTTCTCTCCAGTGAGTGCTGCCCAAAGGCCATGCAGCTGCCCCCAAAGTGTTCAGATGCGATTGGAGGCCAGGCCTCAGCACCTCTCCCCTCCCTTCCCCAAGGGGAGTGTCCCTTGCTGCTGCAGCTGTTGACTGAGAGGCCAGTGCCCGCCCTGCTCCCCTTCCGAGGCTGCCAGCCTTTGCCCCAATCTCTGCAAAGCAAAGTCCTGCAGCCGCCTCTGCCCATTGGGTCACTGACTCGGCCACCCTGTTGACCAAGGCTGCTGGTGGAGGCCGGGGACACAGGGTGGGGGGCTTCCTTGGCCACCTGGTCGCACAGAAGGTAAGTGAGTATCTGGGGAGCGGGGCCTGGGCTGTGCATGGGGGGGGGGTATTCTCCTCCCACCTGCCATGCTGGGCTGGGAAGTAATGATACTTCTGACTCCCACTACTGAGAATTGGCAATCCCATTTCCAGAATTCTGAAATAAGAAAATGCAGGAAAGTATCTGGGAAGCTCACAAAGTGCAGCATTAGCAAAACAGAAAGAAAAAAGAACGCCCCCCCCCCCCAAGCTGGTCTCCTTTGGGCCCTTCAGCCCTTGTGCATCGCTGCCTTGCTTGGAGCTGGGAGGGAGACAGACTGAGGCTCATTGTCCAGCATTCAGTGCAACTTCCAGTCACCCGCCATTCTCCCCAACCCAAGTCTTCTGTACAGGATCCAGCCCCAAACCACATCTGTTTCAGAGGGCAATCCACCCTGGGCCAGGGATGCCTGTCCTTGTACTGGGAAGGGCGAGGGGGGGTGCACATCCTTGGCTTCCTCTCTGCTCACTGGAGTGAGGAAAGTTTTCCAAGAGGGGCTTTGACCTGAGAACCAACCAAAGGAGAAAGGATGCCATTATAATGGGGGCATCCTGAACAAGTGGGAGTCTGCAAGAAGGCAAATTTGTGGTCAAGGGCTTAATGACTGAATCTGTTTCATTAAGTGCCTAAATAAATAAACACCATCGACTTGGAGGGGACTTTAAAAGCCATCTAGACCAACTGCTAGCTCTGTTCAGAATCCACAGGGGCTCCCTGACCCCTGAAGTCCTCCAGCAGAGCAGCCTGTTCCACTGGAAGAGTCAGGAAATTCCCCTGAGCCCTTGTGGATTCCCCTTGGATCCACTCGTTCTGGCTCTGCCCTTTGCAGCTACAGGGAGTCCGTCCATTCCCTTCAGGGTGGGATCCCATCTCCCCCACACCTTGGGTGGGCTGAGCATTCCTAGATAGTCTGGGTAGACTTCCTCTAAACTGGCACCACTTGGCTGGTGCCCTTTGCCCAGAACTGAACCTGCATTCCAAGCAGGGCCTGGCCAGGGCAGAGGGGAGGGGAGCAAGGGCTTCTCACACATTGGCTTCCAAACAAGCTGTTTTGCAAACCCTCAAAGGATTTGTCCAGCTGCTCTTTCAGTTCGGGAGGCCTTGTTGGGGGTGGGGTGGGGGTGGGGGTGGGGAAGGGAGCTAGGACAACTTGCCCAGCTGGCAGTAGCTCATTGGCTGCAGCCCGATGTCCCATTCCAGCCTTCAGGACCCCCAGATAAGTTCCATTGTTTGGCCCCTTGCCTTTGGAAGATGGGAGAGAAGGGACCTCGCCATCCGCTGCCAGCATTCTCAATGGGCCTAGCCCCATTGCCCTCTCCTGCTGAGCCTCAGGACACCTCCTCTCCGGAGGCTTTCCAGCTGATTGGCTGGATCCCCACTGCAGTGAACCTTGTCTAGAGGTCCCTTCAGCCTGTGGGGGGGGAGAGCAGAATGGACAGGCAGCCCCTTGCTTGCCTCCTCTTTGATAAGCAACATATTGAAAACTCACTGGGGGGTCACACTGGCTGAGGCAGCAGTGGTGGCCCTACCTACCTGGACCTGGCCACATTATCTCATGCCTTTCTCAACGCTTGCCTAGAAAGATGACAGCAATATTATGTTTTATCCTGTCATTTTTGTACATAATTCAAAGGGGAGAACAAGTCTAATCGCGCCTCCCTTTGTACTTCCATTTTTTTCTGCAACAACCACCCTGTGAGGTGGGTTGGGCTGAGAGAGAGGGTACTGGCCCCAGGTCAGCCAGTTGGCTTCCATACCAAGCAATGACCTAGAACTCACCGTCCCCTGGTTTCTAGGCACAGTCACACCACGCTCAACATACTCAGGTGTCTGCCTTTAAAGACCATTTGGGAATGCAACAGGCAGGGCGTCACCCAGCAGTTGTGGGTGGGAGCAGATGACCCTCCTGGGGCCCAGAGCCTTCCAGGCGCAGCTTACGGCACCGAGACCCACCTTTACAGTTTGCCAACATTGGCCCAACCTCATCTGGCAGGAAGCACAGCTGGTGGCTCCCCATTTTGGGGAGTGGGGCTGGGCTGAGGCGCAGAGGGGCTGCTCCCTGCAATGCCCACCTGCCTGCTTTTATCCGAGCCGCCTGATCCCCCTGGCCGACTGGCTGAGCCCCTTGGCCATTTTTCTGGAAGCTGCTGTAGATGCAGCATCTCCAGGGAACTTCTTTTTGAGACTGGGTTTTGGATTTTCTTGTCCGGTTTTTGTATGCTTCCAGTTTCCACTTGGGCTGTGGGTGTTTGGATGACTTTTGAGTCCTGTGGGCGAGTGATAGATCTGAGGGGGGCACTGCTGCCACGAGGTCCCCGATCTCTCTGCCCTATGACTCCCCCTCCCCTGGGCAGCTGAGGAAGGCTTTCTCCGCCTTGGGCGTTGGGAGCTGGGTGAGCTATCTTGATGCCGCCAAGGGTGGGAAAGAGCGAGACCCCTCGCCCACTCCCACCCGTCTGACCGCGGCGCTTCTGCCTTTCCTCCGCAGGCAGAAAGGATGCCCTCCCGGCCTGGCCTCCTGCTGCTGCTGCTGCTGCTGCTGCTGGCCTTCTCGGGGATGGCCCCGCCGGGGAGCGCCGCCTGCGCCCGCCTGTCCCCGTGCCGGTGCTTCGGCGGCGCCACCGTCTTCTGCTCGGGGCGAAACGTTTCGGGCGTCCCGGAGGAGCTGCCGCCCGAGGCCACCCGGCTGCTCTTCGTGGGCGCCTCGCTGAGCTCCGTTCCCTGCCGCGCCTTCGCCCCGCGCGGCAACGGTAGCAGCGGCGGCGGCGGCCTGCGCCACCTCTCCTTCCTGGACTGCCCGCTCCGGACGCTCCCGGGCTGCGCCTTGGCGGGGCTGCCGCGGCTGCGGGAGCTGGACGTGGCCCTCGCCCAGCTGGCCGCCCTCCCCCGCGGGGCCCTGCTGGGCTTGGGCCGCCTGAGCAAGCTGGCCGTCCGCTTCAGCCGGCTGGAAGCCCTGGAAGAGGGGCTCTTCGACGGCACCCCGGCGCTCCAAGCGCTGCAGCTGCAGGGCAACCGGCTGGCGGCGCTGCCCGCGGGGCTCTTCCAGCCGCTGCGCGGCCTCCAGGCGCTCTCCTTGGCTCAGAACCGGCTGGCCGAGCTGCCCGCCGAGACCTTCCAGCCGCTGCTGCGCCTGCGCGAGCTCCGCCTGAGCGACAACCTCCTGACGCGCCTCCCGCCGCGGCTCTTCCGGCCTCTGGCGGCGCTGCGGGAGCTCTTCCTGGACGGGAACCGGCTGGCCGAGCTGCCCCGGGGGCTCTTGGCGGGGCTGCCCCGGCTGCGGCGGCTGCACCTGCAGCACAACGCCCTGGGCCGCCTGGAGCCCCCCGGGCTCTTGGCGGGGCTGCCCCGCCTGGCCTTCCTGCAGCTGCAGGGCAACCGGCTGGCGGCGCTGCCCGCGGGGCTCTTCCGGGGGACGCCTGGCCTGGTGGAGCTCTCCCTGGCCCGCAACCGGCTCCGGGAGCTGCCCGCGGGGCTCTTCGGCAACCTCTCCGAACTCGCCGTCCTTAGCCTCGCCCACAACCGGCTGGGCCGCCTGGCTGCCGAGACCTTCCAGGGCTTGGCCGGGCTGGGCCGGCTGCAGCTGCGCCACAACTGCCTCGCCGTCCTCCCCGGGGCGGCCTTCGCCAACCTCAGCAGCCTGGAGGCCTTGGACGTGGCCCACAACCGGCTGGAGAGCCTGCCCGCGGGGCTCTTGGACGCCAACCGGGCCTTGGTCAGCCTGGCGCTGGAGGGCAACCCCTGGCGCTGCGACTGCCGCCTGAGCCCCCTGGCCGACTGGCTGCGCTCGCTGGACCACCCGCTCGGCGCCCGCGTCTTCTGCCGGGCCCCCGCCGCCTTGGAGGGCAGGACTCTCCTGGCTGCCAGGGAGGAGCAGCTCCTTTGCCCAGGGGAAGCGCCCACTGCCGCCCTGGACCGGCTTGCTTAGAGGCTGCCGGCACCATTCAGGGCAGAGGAGGGCCGGGACAGTGGCCGCCTCTGAGCGAGACAAAGGAGCGGCGGGCAGCTGCGGAGCGGCAGGCGCGAATCGGGCAGCGCCGATCCCAAGGGCTGCAAGACCCAAGCCCGGGAGCCACCAGGAAGCGCTGAGGTTGCTCGCCTTCACCCTGGACCAGCTCCTGCTACAGAGGCCCCCTCGCTCCTCTCCCCCGCCAGGGCTCCTTCTGCAGAGCAGATCGCTGGATCCCAGGGATTCTGTGCTGCGTCTGCCAGCCCGCCGGGATTCCCGTCCCTCATCATCGGTGAAGGCTGTTAGAGAAGAGCTCCGGGGTTCCTGCAACAGCACATGCCCCCCCCCCCCCCGTGTGCCTCATTCCAGCTCTGAAGACCTTTAGATTCTAGCTAGGCTTGTTGTCTTTCCTCCTCCCCTTTCCCTCCCCTCTTCCCCCCCCCCCCCCCCTCCCCTTTCCCTTCCCCTCCTCCCCCTCCTCCTTTCCTTTCCCTCCCCCTCCTGTTCCTTTACATTTCTTTTTGCTTTTTGCAGTTCACACACATTTATATGTTGCTATTATGGTTGGTGTTACAATGTTTGAGGACTTCGACATTTTTGTGATTGTTGTGTACTTTTTGCAGGGGCTGAATTAAACCCAATCCTGTGTTTAATCCAACCAAAGTATATATAACATGTTTTGCCTTAACCAATAAATCATTATAGTCAGTTATTATCTGTCCCCCCCCTCCAAAAACCTGCATCTCTCCCTTCCCCCTCAAGCTTGCTTCCCAGGGGGCTTCCAAAAGGCAGTGGGTACAGACAGACCTGCCCTTGGTCTCCCTTACACTGACCATTCTGTCCCTTGGGCAGGGGATGATGGCCTTTCCCATAAACCAGCCCTGGGCACTGATTCCCCCCAAAGTGGCTCTCTCCACTTTAGCCCCGTGGGGTTCTGAGGCCCTCCAGCTAGGGAACCCCTTAAGGAAGAGGGAGTCCCTGTGCCTGCCTATCTCTCCTTCCAGAGTGCAGGGGGCTTTTTCAAGAGGCAACTGGCCTTTCTGGTTTTCTTTAAAGCCTTAAGGACCCTCTAAAACAGGGGTGTCAAACTCAAGGCTGGCGGGGCAGATCTGGCCCGCAGGGTACTTAGATCTGGCCCACGGGGCCAGTCTGGAAACAGCAAAGGACCTGCCTGTGGTGCCTCTGCTACCAAAAATGGGGCACAACCACAACCCCCCGCAACCACTTTTGGCCTCTGCAGTGGTCCAGTGGTCAAGTATCCTTGACTCAGGAGGTTATAAAAGGGAGGAAAAGTAAAATATTTTACCTTTCCGGCTCGCAGGATTCTGCTACTATAGCCTATGACAACAATTTACAGTTCTAGACTTCCTATGGAGTCAGTTTCTTGATCTGGTCTCTCTCTCATAAGGTGATCAAGTAAGTATTAAAAAAACAAAACTACAGAAATGTACACCTCTCTATTTTTCTAAGTTTATAAAACCATGTCTGCGGAGGTGCAGTCCCGTGTCACGCCCACCCCCCACAGGCCCTCCAAGGTCAAACCCAATCCTGATGTGGCCCTCAATGGACTTTGACACCCTGGCTCTAAAAGAATGCAAGTGACCAGTTGTCTGCAAGGAGTATTAAGTCCTTCCATTTCCCCACCATCCACTCAGAGCTGAAGAAGGTTCTTTGATGAGAAGCGAAGGGTCTTCAAAGAAAAAACCAAAAGTCCAGTTGCCTCTTGAAAAAAATGCACCTTTGGGAAACCATGGCCTGGAGGACTGAGAGTCTCCATAGACATGAGTGCAGGGAATGTGTCGGGGTGCTGACCCTGTTCTGGGAAGATGGGGGCACCCTTGACTAGGGTGTGTCTCTCTTCCTTCTGGTCAGCTTTGGCAGCACCAGCTCCTGCCAGCTCAGGGGGTCTCTGCACTGTGGAGAGTGGGTGCCAAGGGAAGGGCACTTCCTCTGCCAAGGGAGGGGCAGTTTAGTCCCAATGTGCCCCTCGGGGGGAAGAGAGCCAAGCGTCTCTCGCAGCTTATCAGACCAAACCAGAGAGCAGCAGGTGCCTTGGATTACACCCAGATCTCCTCCACCCTTCTGGGACGTCTCCTGGAGATAAGGGCCACCTATCCCTCGGCAGCCCATCTGGATCGGGGGCAGATTCTCCAGGGAGGTGAGTGGCGCATTCTCAAGACCTCCTGCTATCCTAGCCAGCAAGGATTTCTCAGCTCAGCAAACAGGTGCGTCTTCTTAGCCGCCACATTGGAGACCTGCGGGGAGGCCCTGGAGGGAAGGGTGGGCAGTCTGTGTCCCCTTTGCAGGGCCAAATGCTCCCTTCTGGTCTGGCTGTGGCTGCAGCAGCAGAGAGCAAGAGGGAGGATGGGGACCTGGGCATATGCCAGTGGCCGACTTGCTTGCCTTCACACATTTACTCAAGAGGGAAGCCCTGCGGTGTTCCTCTGGGTATAAATCCAGTGCAATGACTTGCAAGAATTAAAACGGCAGGTTGAGAATCTGTCAGAAGGGTGGAAGAATTGATTCAAAGGGTCCTAGAAATTGCAGAGAAAGTTGGTAGGCCCAGGGAATACTTTGAAAAAGGCTCAGGGCTGTTGGTCTCTTCCAGCATGTGGCTCAAGGCCACCATCCTCCTCCTCCTCCTCCTCCTCCTCTTCCGGACCAGCCAAGGGAACCAGGATTGCACTTTGAACAAGAGCTGCCCTTATCAAGACATGTACACGAGGACCCGAGATGTCACAGAGATCCCTAAGTCAGTAGCTCCCATTATCACCGAAATGTTCTTTGTGGACACCAGCATTGTAGAAATCAGACAGGGAGCCTTCCTGAACATGTCTAACCTAGTGAGAATTGAATTTATAAACAGCAAGATTAAAAGAGTTGAAGCAGGAGCATTTGATAACTTGGAGAAATTGATGGATTTGGAAATCACTGGGGCTGAGTTAGAGGATCTCCCTTTGGGCACCTTCCGGTCCCTGGGTCGCTTGCGGAAAGTGAGCCTGAGGGACTCCCAGATAAGAAGGATTGAAAAAGGACTCTTCGATAGTCTTGGGGACTTGGAAGAGATTTATCTGCATTGGAATGAAATTGCGTCTCTCCCCGATGGAGTTTTTGATGGGCTCCCTAAACTCTCCTTGTTACAGTTGGGGTGGAACCAGATTTCCAACTTCTCACAGGATATTTTCCAGCAGCTAACCCAGTTGAAGATTCTCCGGTTGCAGAATAACCAGATAGGGAGTCTAGGGGAGGGGAGTCTGGACAGCCTGCAGGAGCTGGTGGAGCTCAATCTTGAAAGCAACAGGCTCCAGATTCTCCCGCCCAACTTGCTAAGACGGCTGGTCAATCTGGAGAGGATTTTTCTGGGCAAGAACTCGATTGAAGTTCTCCCAGATGAGATCTTCCTTGGACTGAGAAAAGTGAAACAGCTGAATGTGGCTTCCAACCACTTGAAAGCCTTCCCGCCCTTGGGGGCCCTAGGGCTGCTGAAGGAGCTGGACCTGAGCAGGAACAAGATCTCCTCCCTGGAGAATTTGGCGGTGGCTTCTCTCCCGTCCCTGACAACTCTTAAGCTTCAAGGAAACCTCCTGGAAACCATCCCCACAGGTCAGCTGGACCAATTGGGAAAACTCTCTTCCCTGTATCTTGGAGACAATCCGTGGAAGTGTGACTGTCACCTTCTCTATCTTCATCAGTGGATAAACATTAATGCCAAAAGAATAAAGGATGCCAAAAAGTTAACCTGTAGAAGCCCAGGAGACCTGGCTGGCAAAAAAGTGAGCTCACTGTCAACAGACCAGCTGGTCTGTTTAACAGCCACACCTATTTTAGCCACCTTCAAAACCACCCCGTTGCCCACCTCCACTTCTCCCACCCCAGCAAGGAGAAGTACAGCCGGTGCCTCAGCTGAGCCCCCCATGCTGCAGGAGGCCACCACCACGTCTCAGGCCTCAGCCACAGTTCCTCAGACCCATCCTACAAAAAGCACACAAATCATTACCAGCGGGCCTACAACCACCCCCACAAGCACCCAAACCCCAACTTCAAGCTCCCCCTTCACCCCCACTCAGAGTTCCACCTCAGCCAGGACAAGTCCTGAAATCACAAGTCATCAAGCCACAACTTCCATAAATTCTTCAACCACAAACAAAGATACCATAACTGTCTCTGAGATTTCTTCCACAATCCATGAAATAATTTCCACAAATACTCCAGCCACAACCAAAGAAGCCACAACTCTCACTGAATTGCCATTCACAACCCTTCAACACCCAACTTCCATGACTTCTCCAACCACAACCAAAGACACCACAACTGTCTCTGAGATTTCCACAACTCCTGAAATAATTTCCACAAATACTCCAACCACAACCAAAGATGCCACAACTGTCACCGAATTGCCTTCCCCAACGCTTCAAGCCACAACTTCCATGAGTTCTCCAACCACAACCCAAAGTGCCACAGCTGTCTCTGAGATTTATTCCGTAAGCCACCAGTTCACCTCTTGTACAGACACTCTGACCACAGACGATGAACCGGGTACCCGAGCCACGGAAGCCTCTGTGCCCTGGGGCACTCCCACCAAGGTACGCCCCACTGCTCTAACTAACATCAGCTCAGCAACAACCTATGAACAGTTTACAGTCCCCAAGAGATCCACAGAAAGCCAGGATCCCCCCACTGGCAGTCCTGTGATCGCCACATCATTCGTGTGTAGCTCCAGACACTCCGCGCCAGACCCATCCACCAGGCAAGCCATGACCATGCCCGGCCCCACAGCCCCCAGGGTGACGCTGGCACAGATGCCTGTTGCAGGCTCAGCCCTGGCACTTCCATCTGCAGCAGAGCTCCCCTTTTGCCCTTCCTCTTCTCTCCCTTCTTTGCCCCCGAGTGTTGGGAGCCCCCTTTTCCCCAACCGCACTGCCCTTCTGCCACAGCACCAGGCCTGGGGCTCCCTGCTGAGCTCCAACTCCCTGTATTGCCAAGTGTTCCTCTTGCTGTATCTCTCCATGCTCTCTGTGGCCATCTTCTGTGCAGTCGTCTTAGGGCGCCTGGCCTACGTGCTCCACAAAGCCACGGAGTCGGTCCAGTTGCATTCCAGGACAGTGAGATTGGTGCACGTCAAGGCCAGGCGAGGGAGTGAGTGAAGGGTGGTGGCAGAAAAGCAGCCCAGCCATCTCAGCTCTTGCCTCCTGGGACGTCCACTGACACCCAGGGCAGAGGGCCCTGCGCTGGGCTGCCTCTTAATTCTGCCACCTTCTGGACCCCAAGGGAGAGGGCAGATGGGGAAACTGAGTCTGCCAGCTGTAGCCCTACCTTATCCTCTCCACGATGTGGTGGGGCTATTATAATGCACTTGTGGTAGTAAAAGGTCTCCCATACCACAGACATAGAACCTCTGAGATGCCCCCTGTCCCACTACCTATTAATCCCCCCCCCCCGCATCAGGAAACCTTTACAGCCAGCTGGATGAACCCTGAGTGGCGACAAGAGGAAGACTGCTTCTATTATTAGCATTAGGGGCATTGGGGGCCCAGGGAAGCAGACTGCTTCTATTCACTGGCCAGGTGTATCTCGGAGCCTTCCTAAGGACGAGGTCACAGGGGTGGGTTTATCTAAAACCGTTCAAGCCCAGGCTGTGATTCCACTGGGTCTGCCTCTTCCTTTGCCATGCAGCCTTTTGATCCCCTTTTGGATCAAGGCTCTCAGCAAGCGCCAAAACCGTGTGGAGGGCCCACTGCATGCATGCTAATAAAAAGAGAGCGTTAGATCTTCAAAGTGATTTGGTTGTTTAGAGTGACTGCAGCCCACTGACTGTGGGGATGGGGTTGAAGAGCACTCAAAAGCTTCGCTTGGTCCAAAATACACCCACCTAATTATTGGCCAATCCAAATGTAGGATCCCTGCGCCCTGAGCCCCCACTGGTGTCCAGCGGAGGGCAGTTCCAGGTGTTGGAGGGTCACCTGTGTGGGTTGAGATGCAGTACCTTCAAGGCTACCCTCTCCTTTGGATGGTAGGAGTTTACGTTTCCTCTGGTTGCCTTTTCTGTTTCCTGCGTTTTATTGCTGGAAACCACCAAGAGTGTTGGGAGTGCAGAAATACACTGATAAATAAACAAGCAAGCGCCTGGGATTAATCCCACCTGGGTGTTTTCTGCTGCTCTTTGGTGTCAGGCAATCAAGGGCTTCCTGAGTGGATCCATCTTCCAGCTTGGCCCAACGCACAGAATGCCCAGAATTGTGTGTGGTTCCCACCCTGAAGCTGTTCTGAAAGGCTGAAACAGAACGGAACAGAATAGAAAACAGAGTAGAAAATATAGAGTAGAACAGAAAATAGAGCAGAATAGAATACTTTATTTGGCCAACTGTTTGGGTTAGGAAAGCAGGTGAGCTCTGAATTACTTCCTATAGTTTTTCTGGACACTCTTCCTTTGCTCCTTTATTCTGCTTTTTTTTATAACATAAGCACCCAGAGATATTGGGAGTGTGTCAGCACTTCAACCTGCATTTACTCTAGTGCTGACATAAGAAGGAGAAGAAGGGGCAGCTGACAAGAGGACGCTTGACATTTCACCTACTTATTTTCCTTGAAGATAATATCCCCTAGGAGATGAGAGGCAGGGGGGACATTCCTGGGAGCTTAAGTAGTAGATATGGGGAGAGTGATTTGGAAGAAGGCCAATGAGACGCAGAGATTTGGGGAACGGAAAGGGAGGGTTTGGGGTCAGGAAGTCAGAGTTGGCTACGCCACGATCGGGGGCAGATTGTCGTACTTAATAAAATGAAAAATTTCTTCAAAGACTGTTTGGAAATGCAATTTATTTTATTTGAGACGATATCGAAACCTGACAGAGTGTATTTGTTATGTAAAATAAGATGTGTGCGTGAGAGAGATCGATAATAAAACCAATCTCTAAGCATCCCAGGGTGGCTGGTTTTGCAGAGCCTACCAAGCCCTGGATAACCAGCCTGAAACCTCTTCCGGGGCCCCTTTCCCACCTGGCGCCGAAGAGCGGAACCGGGGCAGAGCCCAGGACTTCTTGCAGAAACTTTGCCGGGCGAGGCGGCCTCCTGGGGAGGAAAAGTCCCCGCCAGACCAGCCCCAGGTAAGGCCGTCGGCCAAGGGGGCGTGTCAAGTATTTGCAAGCCATTGGCACATGTATCATACAGACACTAGTGGAGGCAGAAAGTGCCCCCACCCCTATGTGCAGAGGAGGGGCTTACACTGAGTATAAAACCCCCTCTAACCTTTCCACCAAGCTCTCTTTTACGTTTGTTCTCCAGGAGACATGATCTTTGATAGGGGTAGTCACACACGCTGTGTGCCCCCTATCCTAATGGATATCAAGACAGCCTTTGTATATAGTTAATATGTTTTGTTATATGAATAAATACATTTATCACATTTATTCATGCATCTGCCTTTGGACTCTTCTATGCTCCTGGGTGTTTCTACGATCCCAATTCCCACACGGCGAGAGTCCCGCCCTTACTTAGGAGAAGGGCGACATATAAATCGAACCAACCAACCAACCAATCAATCAATCAAACCAGCGCAGGAAGCCGCTGCCAGCGCTGCGGAAGGCTCGGTCTTGCCGGGCGCTGCCGGCGTCGGCCCTGGCCAAGTTGCGGAGTGCAGTCGGGGCGAGCGTGGCCGGAGAGGAGAGCGGGGCAGCCCAGCGCTGTAATCCGCTGCTCCCCACCCCTCCGTCTTCGGGGCGAGAGAGGCGAACTGAGCCGCAGCGCTTCCTCTCCAGCCTTTCCTTCCCTGCGAGCAGAATTCGCCGCTGCGACCCACCGCACTGCGAGTCTTGGGCCTCGCGGCATCAGCGCCTCCCTCTGGCTGCTCACCGGAGCGTCCGTCCCGGGCTCGCTCGCTACTCCTCCAGCTGCGGCGGCCTCGCTCAAGACGGCGTCGGGGCGGAGACCCTCCCGGCCTTCAGACGGAGCGCTTGCCGGCCCCGAACGGCTTGCGCGGCGGGGGGGGGAGGCTGCCGCTCTTTCTCCGGACTGGCCTGACCTGGGGAGGACGAGGGGCCTCCGCCAACCGTGGACCGTCTGAGCCGAAACCCGAACCCGAAGCCTTCTCCGCGGAGGAGCGACGGGCGCACGTCGATTCTTCAGCAAACCAAGCGGGGAGGGCGGGGGTGGGGGGCCGGTTGGCGCGCCTTGATTTTGTCTTTCTCCCCTGTGGCCACCTTCAGATTTGCGGTCTTCAACTCGCCTGTGTCCCGTCGCTGCTCCGCCGAAGGCTCCTCCGGCGAACTCCTCTTGCAAGCAGCCGGCAGATGGCGCCAGAGGACACCTCTGCTGGCTGCTCGAGGGCGCGGCAGGGGTGGAAACCCCCCATCCCCACTGCGAGGGTGTCGGTTCCCGGGAGCCCAGATGATGCCTGCTCCCACCCCCGGGCTGGATGCGGCTCTGCCCACGCGCAGAAGGGGAGCCGGGCTAAATGTAACGGGCATCAGAAGAGGGCAGTGGCAGGGGTCGCTCGGCTCCGCGAGAAAAGGAGTACACCCCCCACCTCCTCTCCTGCAAAGTCCTGAAAGCGCTGGTTCCACCTGGGGTTTGAGCTAGAGAGTTAATGGGGCCCCTGATTGTATTGAAACTCATGAGGACTGGAAGCTTGTGATATCAGTCAGCCAAAGGCCCAAGGCCCTCTGCAGTTTGCCCCTCCTTTAAGGGAGGACAAGCTCTGGATCCCTCGCCTGCAGGTGGAATCTGGTCTGGGGTTGGTTTAATGATCTCTATATTGGGTCCCACTGCCCCTGCCGGCCAGCTGGCCATAGACCCAGCTGCTTGGACTGCCTGCCCTGTCTGGGCTCAGCAGGCCCTCTACCGTGGCTGGAAGAAGGGACACCATCCAAGGGGGCTGAAGTCCAGCGCTGGCATTCACCAGCTGCTGCTTGCTAGGCCTTCTGGGCTCTGCCAGAGGAGCTGCCACTTCAGGAGCCAGGATGCTCTCCAAAGCTCCGGCCATAGAGCAGCCAGGCCAGGGGGAGTCACGTTTTAGGGAGGGGGGGGCTCTTTCTCGTCAGGAGTTTTGCTTCTTTGGAGGTTTCTGAAGACCATGACTTTGTCTGACCAATTCAGGACCAGACTGAGTCTTGTTATTTCTTGTACTTCGGCATGTTGTGGAAACCCAAATATTGGAATACTAAAAAAAGGGTCTTTCCAACCCCCCTCACCCCCACGGGAATCTCCACACCATCGCTTCTCCCGCGTCTTTTGGCTTCGCATTGGCCAAGCAGGGAGATCTTCCCTGGGTGGCTCTTTCCTCCCCGGGAGAGAGCATAACAAGGCAAGCTGGGCTCCAGGAGGGCCAGGCTGGCCTACCTCGCAGGCAGAGCTGCAACTGGCATCTTGTCCTTTGCCCAGAACCTTCCCAGAGAGGCTCAAGTTCTCAGCAATTCTGGCATGGATGGAGGGGGAGGAATTAGCTCACCATCCACCCATCTCTCTTGGTCTCCTTGGGGGAGAAGGTTGCCATGGAGACAGACCAGGAAATCCTCTTTGATGTTTCAGCTCCGCTTTTTCCAAAATGCTGCCGGTTAAAATGTTCTCCTTTGAAGTGGGGACTTTTTTTTTCCTTTTTGGCAACCACAGTTTAAGAACTATTTTTTTATAGCTCTTAAACTGTGGTTCCAAAAAGAAAAAAAAAATCACAAGACAACCATCCACCCTGTTGCACCCTGAATGCTGGGCAGCAACAACAACGGACGGAAAGCTCTCTGCATGCCATGGAAATGTGAATGCTCCATTGGATATTGGGCATCTCCCCCTTTTTTTTTATTTAAATAGTTTTTATTGAACATTTTCCAACTTTAAAAACCACAAGTAATAAAAAAAAGGAAAAGAAAAAAATAAGGCAAACACAAACAAATAGAAAAAACAGACAACACAATTTTACAGCTTTCCGTATCAGCATGCGTATTCTGCTTTTGTAATTCACTATTCAATATTTGCCTTCTCATAGATTTTAACAATTCTAGTAATAGTATAATAAATATATTATAATAATATAATACTGATTATAACCGTTCTGATTATGGATATATACATTTATCTTTACATTATAGTCAATGGTTTTAGAACTTTTATTTCTTGTTTTGGCTTCTATTCTCTAGCCACTTGTACAGTCTACTCCAAGTTTTATAATAGTCCAATTCTTCTTTTTCTTTTAACTCCATGGTCATCCTATCCATTTCAGCACGCTCAAGTATCTTTCTAATTACCATTTCATCTGAGGGGGTATTTATTTGTTTCCAGTTTTGTGCAAAAACGATCCTAGCAGCGGTTAGTATGCGTAATATTATGTATTGATAATTCTTACCCATTTTTGGAGCTAGTATTCCTAATAGACATAATTCTGGTTTCAATTCTATCTTACGTTCCGTGATTTCTTCCAGCCATTCCTTAATTTTGAGCCAATATTTCCTGGCATTGGGACATGGGCATCTTCCTTCTTGAACACATCACAAATGACACCATTTGCCAACACTTTGGTATGGCCCCAATTACAGAGAAGATAAGAGAAAGCCAACTCTGCTGGTATGGACACATCCAGAGAGCAGCACCTTCCAACTAGAAGTCAATGGCCGATGACCTCGCGGACATCCAAAACAGAGATGGCAAGACACCATCAAGAAAGATATGCAAGCTGCGGGCCTGTGCCCTGAAGATGCAGCTGACTGTGCCAAGTGGCATTCTGTCAGTGTATATGGGTTCATGAATTGGAATAGACATGGTAACAGGTCAGCCAATGGGGAGCTGACCCAGACAGCTCAGAGCCTGGGGGTGACTTTGGTTCACTGATCTGTATGAGTGCTTCTGTGATTATATTGATTCTGTGCTTCTGGATTCTGAGTTCTGGTTCTGGCTTCTACTACATGGGTATTGTATACATGCATCGTGCTTAATATTACTTTATATAAAGAAGTTGCTTTTATACATGAATCCTGCTGAATTCTTTACTTGTGTGCTGGTTGGATTGCTGCAAACTCTTAACACGTTGAATGATCCAAAAAGCAGACTCTGCACCTGCGGGAATATGCTAGGAAGAAGAAGAAAAAGACGTTTAAGAGCTATTTTTTTCATGGGTAAAAGACCTCTTTAAAAGAAGCCATTTCTGGGTGACCAAGGGAGGGGCTCTGGGAAATCATGGGTGGTCCACTTAGGCTAGGGTGCCAGAGAAGCTGGATAACCCCCCCCTTGTAACTGGCTTGTCCAAAGCCCTTTTCTGTAAGAAATAAAGTTGCTTCATATCAATCTATTCCCCCTGGCCATGGCTTGGCTTAAGCAGGTCATATAAAGCCCCAGCCATTGAGGCACAAGATCTGCCATTCCTGGGTAACTTTAACCCTGGCTAACTGCTTGACTGCCAAGGATGCCTTTTTGTGGAATGGGGCCTCCCACAGTCCTGGGATGTGGGACATTCAGACTTCCTTCTCTGGCTTCCCCTGGAGACCTGCCTTGGATTCCTCCATCCTCTTGCCCCTTTGGAACAGATGGTCCCTCACCTGGCATATGCCACGAATTGCAGCAGAGCCGAGAGCAGAGTCTTCAGGGGCTTCAGCCGGGCACGTGGTCCTGGAGCAGGGATTTCGGTTTGTTCCCCAAGGCTCCTCCGCCTTCTAGCTGAGACCTTGCAGTGGATTTAAGGGGCTTAGGTTTCAGCTGGTCTGTCAAGACCCTTCAGAAGATCTGCTTCAAGCAAGGGCAAAGCACTAACCCCCCCCCAAATCTAACCAGGTTTACTGTGTCCATGTTTAAGCAGCTTTCAGGGATCTTCTGTAGTCCAGTGGCAGATAGAATCTATTGCTGTAAATGATTCAAAATAACATTTCAGAGCAAAATATTCCCTGGATGACAAATATGGAAAAAACCTGGCTGAAATCTGGAGACAACCCCTCCTTGGAGTCTGCATTTACAATTACCCTGTCGATGTTTTTGTGCTTGGAATTTGCCGGATCCCTGCAGAGCGGTCCAGAGCCTCCAGTCTCTGAGCAGGGCTGGGTATGGGGGCCATCTGGAGGGGGAGGAGGTCAAAGGGCATGCAGGGACATCAATTTGCAAGCGCCATAGGAAAGGTTAAGGTCTGGGAGCACAGAGCTGTAATTGAGTCATTCCATCAGAGGCGTCTGGATCAGCAGGGAAGGCTGCTTGTCTCTGGAGGAAAATGCCCAGACAAATTCCAAGCAGCAGGATGGGGGGACTCCCTGGCGTGGGGGCTGAAAGGTACCTGCCGCTGCTCTGCAGCCCTGGAGTCCCTCCTGCCAGGAAAGAGCTCCGTCTCGGCTCCAGCAAATCTCTGGGCTGGCTGCAGAGGCAGAGACCCTGCCACGTCCCCCTGAATGGCGAGTTGCAACCCCCCAGTCACACACTCCGTGGCCTGTGGGGGAGAGCCAGG